CCGCTATGTGCTTAAAGACAATTGATTTCCCTTTGTAGCAGAAAACAATTTCCTGTTATGCCGATTCTCTTAATCTTCATCAGAAACAAACCCAGGCTGCCATTGCCAGCAATGTGTCACGTTCCTTTATTAAATCACTCTCTTTTTCTGCCCCAGTTATGTGTCCTGTGTTTATTATTCCTGATCAGTGGATTGGATCACCTACAGCTGTTATGACTCGCACATATTTTGCTTCATGTATTGCTGGCACCAGGCAGAGTTATTGAAAAGCAACTCCCTTTGCTCAGCAGCTTGCGTGTCTGCTTTGGCAGTGGGACGCGGCTGTAGGGACAACCCTGGACCTTTTACGCTTGGTTTTGGCACGTGTAAAAAACTACTGGCAGGGGAGGAAGTTCAAAGCCTTATATGTGAGTGTGTTGGCCACCCCCTTGCAGGCAGCCCAGAGAGCAAGCACAAAGCACACATTTCGGCTCACGTAAATGCACAGGTTTTGTTTAGAGTTATAGTGAAGAAGACCAGGCTCTTCAAATAAAAGAATTATGCCAGGGCTGAGCACCACCAGTGCAAGCAGAGTGTGAATATTCAACTCATTGTACTTAAGCCTGTCCCATTTACACATTCCTTTGCTTAGTGAGAAACTCAGCAGCTCAGAAGGGAGAGCAAATTGGTGTGGCCCAGGCAGATGAGCATGCCAGGAAATGTCCTGGAAAGCTTTGTATGGAAGATGGTGCTGGATGGCAACTCCCCAGGGCTTCAAACCAGACCTAAAGTTTTCCAACCCCAGGCTTACCTGAGTGAGAGAAGTGCCACGAGTCACAAAGGCTGTGTGAGACTCGGGGCCTCCTGGGACAGACAGGGTTAGTGCACTGAAGACTGCTTTGTGATACCGGAAAGCCACATTATTCAGGAAAGGGAAAAAAACTCCCACCTTTCCTCCACATGTCAGGCAAGATCTCTTTTATCATCTGGGCTGCAGATGAGAGCTCTGATCCTCTCCCCTTCTGCACAGAGATAATGCTTCAGTTCAGTTCTCCTCCTTCTAGGGCTGGGAGATGCTAAATACTCCCTCTGATCTACTGTGATCAGCTTCATACTACTTCTTTGAGACACAAACCCCATTTCCATGAAAAACAAAAAAAACCCTAAACTAACCACTAACCAGTTCCAGCAACATTTTTTAAAGTCAAAAGCAGACTGATAGTATGTATGTTCACCACTCAGGTTCTGTGGTGATAGACCTGGTTTAACACTGAATGCTTGTTCAGCTCAGTCCTTTGACACAAAATCAGCTCAGATCATTGAAGGAGAGGACTGATGAAACATGGAAGCAGGAAAAACATCTAGCAAAACCAGCATATGTACTCTTCCAAGTGGGTAAATATACATGAATAAAACCAATCCCATTGTAAACTGTAATCCCATCTGTAAACTGTAGTAAGTATTGCAAAACTACAAAAAAACCCCACAAAAAACAAAAACAAACAACCAAAACACCAACTCACCAACCAGCCCCAATTACTTCTTCATTTATAGGAAGCTTTTAGAAAAATCTCCCATACTGCAAACCTCCCTAGGAAGGAACCAGCAGTGCACTAGTTAACATTCTTTCTCGTGCATGTTGGTTGTGAAAGGTTTAGAGAATAGGAATAGCTTTCTGTGAGGCATTACACAGAAGGAGGAGAGACAAAGAAGAGAGACTGTTCAACCTGCCTTATATGTGGAAATTCTCCCTCCAAAAGAAACAAGCAATTTTTACAAAGTCAGATGAGAAAATGCCATTATTAACCTGATGTCAGTTCTGTGGCATTAGTATGATAAGACAGCACACAGATTTTATTTTGCACCAAATCTCCATATTTGGGTTCTAATAAAGGTCATGGAAATATAAATGCCTGTCCAGCAATGCTCCTGTACAGGTTCTTTTTCAAAGCACAGGTGGGAGAAGCTGGATAGAGATCTATCTTAGCTAGTGACCTAACCTGTAACAGTGTCCTTTATGTGGTAGAAAAAGGTCTTTTGCCTTGCTGCAAAGCAGCACGGGTGTGTCCATGTCACCTCAGTTCTCACCCACACCAAATAACACATTTTTCTACACAGTGACGTCTTCCAGCACATTTCAGTGCCCCCTCCACCCCAGCATCTGAGATCCTTTCTCATGAAATCAATGGCACAGGAAAAGTACTTGGTGACCTTTCAGGACTTTGCCAGCTTTTATTTTCCCAGAATCAATATCTGAGGGCTGGATTTTTTTGAAGTTTAGTCACATGAACAATATTGGGGTAGAAAGGGTGGCAGTAATTATTCTTTAAATCTGACATTACTTAAAATAGAAATTCAATATAGATTGGATCAGTGCAACCACCAATCCTCTATCCCTTAGACAGACAGGATCCTGCAAATGCCCCTTCTGTGTCATGGATCCATTTCTTGGAGCAGCTTGTCCTGGGTCTGTCCTACTGGCTTTAGCAAACCTCCCACATCATCTTTGGATCTCACTTCATGGAATAAGGACAGTGGCACCACATCATTTTTACTGGGTGTGAATGCAGTGCAATTTGACTGATCACCTGCCAGCACCCTTCCCTCTCACTTCTCAAGTGTCCCCTGCCCAGATTTAAACCTCCAGCACTATTTACCCACTGAGCTCTCTAAGGGGGCACAATCTATACTAGGCATTAAGATGCCTCTCTACTGCCAAATAAGTAAGATTTCTGTGCTGAGTTATTTTACAAAGGCTGGGTAACAGGCTGCAGCCTGTATGTCATTATCAGACCCATCTAGGCACAGACCGAACCTGTGAGTCACAATTACTGTAAAACAAACGGTGATTGTGCTTCAGAGCAGGTCACCCTTGGAAGAAATGTCAGTGGCTGCCAGCACAACAGCAAAGTTCTGCTGCTGGCACCTCTGCCATCCTTCAAACATACACTTAGCAGGGATTAGGCTCTGTCACACTGTCTGCATCATCTCTCTCACTCATTCTTTCACCACCTTTTTTGTATCCCCTAGACCACACTGAATTACAACTTAGTGTAAACACACTGGCGGGACTTCTGACCTTACACTTTTTGTGAGTCTGCTGCTCACTACCTTTCCTTTTTTAGCCTGTAGAAATCCATTCCCTATTTTGATTTTTGCCTGAATCACCAAGTGACATCTACAATTCACTTCCTCAGGCAAGAGCAAATACCCTCAAGTGCTAACAGCAATAAACACTGTGGGCGGCTGCCCGGCCCTGCAGTGACTGCAGCTTTTGTTTAAAGGCACCACAGGGTTGCTGGGCTTACAACATCTTTCTTCATCCTTGTAAATTTATAAAGTTTTTATTTACATCAAACATGCCACCTTCCCCCAAAGAAAAACTCTGTAAAAAGTTTTAAAAAAACCCCACACCCTGGTTCCACAGGATGTATTAAACCTTTTACATAAATTAAAAAAAAAAGGCAAAAAAAGAAAAAAAAAAAAGCAGGACTGGGCTGTGCCACAGATTTTACTTCAAAGGATCTCTTTCACAGTCCTTTTAGGGGCTTCTGAACAGGAGTTTTATGAATTTATAACAACATATATGTCAGGCAGACACTGGAATTCAAATTATTTTAACTCCAACTAAAGGCCTGTGTTCGAATGTCTGAATGCATTCCTTTGTGGCTCAGATTTCTGGAGTCTTAAAACTGCAAAGACCATATCTTAATTGTAAATATTCAATTTCTTAGTCATTGTGGTGTCAAAGGACTGCTGGAGAGAAAATCTGCGCAAGTGTGGTCCAGGAGGAAGCAGGAATCAGAAGAGTTTTGTGTAGAGCCAAACATGCTCACTAAGCCTGGCATCTCTGTTATGCATCTGGATATTTGGTACCAAGAATGCATAAACCCCAAATGAATACTGGCATTGCTTAGCTAGTGCCCACATGGCAATGTGATCTGTCTTGGGCCTGGTTGCTGAGGATCTGTGAGACTTATTCACTGTTATGTGGGATATTTTTCTTGGTTTCAATTCAGTACAGAGTCTGGATGCCTGCTGGGCTGGAAGGTTACTGCAGACCTCTGTGTTTGCCTCGCTGGTTGTTACTGCTGATTTAACTGTCAGAATGGCTCACAAATGGCTGGCTTATTGGACTAGTTAGTTGGATGACTGTTAAAGAAAAAAACATTCTTTCACTATGAACCCTGCAATTGTTTCCTTGAAAACTCCTTTTCAAGCATTTGCTGAACACAATATATATTTCCATGTGGATATATCAGCAATGCAATGTACAAATAACCTGTCTGGAATCAGGCATGAGAATGGCTTTATGTTTTAGGAAATGTCTGGTTGATTTTTAGAAACATGATGGCTATTTTCACTTGAACCCCTCAAAAAAAAAAATCTCAATTCAAGTTTCACAATCTAGGCACTGCAAGAGCATTGAGTGCCCTGGAAGTCCCTGAGATGGCTCATGCATAGGAAGCAACTTTCATCCTGTTCCATGCAGAAACAACCATCAATACTTTGCTGAAGTTGCACCTCTCATGCCTGTGCCAACACAAACACATCAGCTAGGAAGGAGAACTCTGGCTAAGGCAGGGCTTGGCTAAATAATCTGACCTTTTTCTTGGCTTGGCTCTGAAATTTATGTGAAATGTATCAAACCACCCCATTCTGGCTACCTGCTGTGCCCAAGGCCATTGGTCAGCACAAGAAATTATTTTTTAAATTAACACTTTGTAGTGTTTTGTAGTGTTTCCTTAAAACTTTAAATGCTAGTTAATGGTAGGGCACCCAAACATGAGATCCAGGGAGCAAAGCACACCTAACATTTGGGGTAGCACATATCAGGACAGTTGTTTAGTCCTGGAATCACATTTATGCATCTGCAATTAGCCAAGCCAAATTTCCAACAGGATATATTCCTGAGGCTGACACTAAGCCCCATGTGCTTTCTTCAGTTACATTCTGTTACAATTGTTTAGTTCTTCCGTGCTTCCTTCTCTTTCTCCCAAAGAATAAGGACAAGCAGCATCTTACCATGACTTAATAATAATTTTTAATTCTGCATATTTCTTCACATTGAAAGGAAGATTTATCAGCAACCTGATTTTAACAAGATTTTCTTCCCACCTTTACATGAAGTGAAATAACCATAACTTCTTTTTTTGGTCTCCACCTCAGAAGATTCCAGATCCCTTCTGCAGCCCAGCAGAGCCTTTACTATTCTTGCACCAAGAAGTTGATAAGGGCAGTTCTGGGAGACAGAAAGGCCTTTTTAATGGCTCGTCCCTGCAGGTGCTTGGCTCCAAGCTCACTCTGAAGAACGAGCTCCTGGACTTCTTCAAAATTGCGGGCTGCTTGCTGAGGCACAGAAACTTTGCCACAAGCTTTGTTATTAATCTGAAAGAGAGGCACAAAAACAAGAAAAAAAAGAAGTTTAACTAGACTTTGCTACAATTTAATTTCCTGTATCCAACCCATCTTTTTAGAAAAGGAAAGGGAGAAAGTGAAATAAACACTCTTTTCTCCAAACCCACACTTTCTAAGTAGAGGATAAAATTCTTCCTATCTCCTGTCCACCTAAGATAAAACTCTGATTCATGATACTCAAAAAAAATTGGAGAAGTGGCCACAGGAAGTCTCAGTTTTGAAGACAGCAAGCAGCATGTGACTGTGCAATGCAGTGATATTTTAATTTTAAAAACATGACAGTCATATAGGCTGCATGAAATGTCTGGTGGGAGTCTTGATTTGTACATACTTCTAGGCAGCAACTTGGATTCTTTACAGCTAAGCAATGTCTTGCAGAAATTCAAATGGAAGATTTATTATTTTTAGAAAAATAGGCTTTAACTTAGTGTATATTGCACTCATTGTTATGTGCTGCACTCAACCCATGGCTCATTAATCCAACAGTGACCACAAAGATGTCAGCTGCTCACTCAGCAACATCTTCCTGTGTGGGGCTGGTTTTCAGTGCAGCTTCCACCCTGCTTTTGCTTCAGGAGGGCAGAATCACAGAAGTAAAAATGAGTAAGCCCTTTGGTGGGAATCACCTCAGTTTATAAAATGGTTTTATAAATCCTTTCTGTTGTCCAGTAAGGGTAGATAACAGAGAAAGACTATAGAACCTGACTGAGTACCTTTCTGGAGCTGGCATAAAATGAATTATTACAAAGGCTTTCAGATTTATATGGACTATTTTCAGTGGCTTAATGAGAAGAAGGTCAATCACACATTTTAGAAAATGAAACAAATCTTTTAATGCAGTTAATTGCATTACTTGCATAATAATCTGTATATGTACTGCAGATTTCTGAGCCCTAGGCATCATTTCAGGGAGATTTCAATCATCTAAAAGAAACACACATTGCTTCATGCAGTTTGGACATAAAAATGTTCACGACTTAGTTTTCACCTGGATTTTATCCAGGATATTTCCATGCAACATACAACAAAGCCAGAGAAAGACCTAGTTCACTTACCTAGTTTGTATTTTGTTTGTATTTTATTTTAATGAAAATAAAATAATTTGTGCAATTCTCTGAAAGAGGAAGTTGGGACAGATTTTTAAGGAACAAGATGAAGTCTCAAATGCAGCAAGGATGAGCCACTTCTGTTTTTTGACTAGTCTTGACAATAATTTGCAGTGATGTCAGTAGGCTTTTAATTACTCCTACAAGCACCCATAATGTGGCATCATAAAAGGCTGGCTGTGTTAAACTTTGCCTTTAGCATCTGGTGTAAAGTAAAAATCCTTGAAAAACACACAGGAGTTAATTTTTAAAGCTTTTGTGAAAAATAACCACAAACAGTTCTTTCTGACAGGACACTTCAGAGAAGAAATGCATTCCACAGGAAAAAGAAAACAGTAAAATCCAAAGAGATACAGTTTTAGTGGGAATAGAAAGCAAGCCTCTCAACTTACTGCTAGGACACGCAGCCTGCAGTTCAAAGTTATGCCTGCCTAGTTAAAATGTCATTCACTGTCCTCCATCATGCAAATTAATATGTCCCAGTGGATGGATGTTGGCAGGGGGAAATTTTCCACAGCTAGCCTATTTGGTGCTGTTCTCAACAGAAAAGCCAAGCAGCCTAAATCAACTTGGTAAATAAATGACTGCTAGTGGTTGTGTTTTCCTAGAAAGGTTGAGAAGCCTGGGCGACCTGGCACTGTGTACCTTCCCACAGCACATCTCCACCTTCCCACAGCATGTCTCCTGATCTTCCCACACTCTGCTCTGAGCTGGGACCATAACTTTTATTGAACAGCAGATTGGTTATGGTTTCACCACATGTTTGAGCATGGCTTTCATTATATCATAGGTATCATGAAGCATTTTAACACTATTCTTAAAACAGGCAGCTGCAGATTTCACATGCTGTGTGTAACAAGCATCCTAGGCACATGTCCTTTTAGTCCAGGGCTTAGGCTCTCAGCAGGAGAAATGCCTTCTGCTATTTCTGCATCTCTCTCTCTCTCTCTCTCTCTATCTCACTAGACCAGCATAACCCTTGGCATTTCCAGGTGAAAGTGCCACACAAGAAAACTGGGTGATGGCAGCCTTGTTTCTCTGAAAAACCATGCAAGAGGAGAAATACACAAGTCTTGGGTCCTCTCTTCCCCTGAGGAAGGAAGCTGTTGTTTTTTTCTTCTTTTCTCTCATTTATTTTTTTTCTCTTTTTGACATTTGACATTCTACACTATTCCAGATCTACAGAGAGCCAGTGGTAACTACAGAAGTTATAAAACTTGAAATGAAATCACAGAAGACTGAAAAATAAGCACCTTGAGGCTGGAGAGAGGAATTTTTAATTCAACTCAAATATTTTTTTTACCATTGATGCATAATCCTTCTGAGAAGTTAGAAAGAAAATAAATATCTGTGCACTGTTAGACCTTCCTCATATGCCAAAGCAATGAAAATGACACCAATTTTTTTTTAATTTATAAAAATATCAGTTATAAGACCACATCTGCTAACAGTTCTGCACCACCTAGAAAATGTGAGGAATGCTAGTCAGAAGTATTTATAGGATGAAATGCACACTACATTCAGGTCAGATTTTTCAGAGCATTAATAATATACAGTATTATTAAAAATACTCAATTTTGCAATAATATTTAGAGGAACAGATACTGTGCATACCCAGTGAATTTAAATGTCTTTCTTGTAGGCAATTTATATTGTTTCAGCCGCGGATACAGTGAGCTGGTTGCTTTTGTTGCTTTGGGTTAAATATGGAAAGACAGAACTGCAGCACAGACAGGAAATAATGAAGTATTTTGTGTGAAGAGAAATAAACCCAGAATGTCTCAGCAGACAAATCCCTGGCAGCCTGAGGCAGTTTGATGGCTCGAGAAGAATAGGGTTGTGGCCCAAAGACTTGGTTTGACTGTTCAGCCTTGTGAAGAGACACTGACTCTTTGCAAAACCAATTCCTCTGTATGGCGAGTGTTTCTTGGTTTAATGAAGGCAATTTATTTTTGCAGCCATACAAAAACCTTCAGTGTCCACAAGAATTCCCACATTCCATGCACATTCACATTCCCTGCTCCCCCATACCTCCCTTTTGCTTTACTCTTACAGTAGAAAGCCAGGCACACTCTGTAGGCACTATTGCTAAGAATTATTCCCAGTTCAAAAAAACAACTTGTCTTTTTGGTCTTCCAGTCACTTGCTTTCTCAGAAGGAAGGCGTTTACATACATCATATAATTCCATGAATATATGACTGAGAACCCAGGGGTTGTTTTTTGTCTTATTACAACAAGACTTACACAAGGCTTTGACAAAGTCAACCAGGAAAAGAAACAAAAATAATTTTAATAAAATAAATTAATTAAATTTTTTTTCTGGTTCCTTTTAATGAGAAGGAAATTTTTGTGTCAGCAGAAGAATATCAGTGAAATATTTAGGTATTTTCATGTTTGGTTGTGTAGTCTTAAAAACATTGTGTCCACAGTTTTCTCTGTGTTGCTGAAGTTGTTATTTCAAAGATATATTTAATAACATGTTTGCTTTAACCACAACTGCGAAGACGTTTCTAAAATTACACAATTTCTCATTCATGACTTCCTTATAAACTGAACGCTGGAATTCAAGATGTTTGCTAGCTGTGGAGGCTTATTTTGGGCTTGAGAGAAGTGATCATATCTCAGTGAAGATTTTTACTGTTAGAACTAAAAGCTTATCACTTAAAGAAAGAAAGAGAGGGCAAGAGAGAGGAAAAAAGCAATTCACCCACAGTGACTATTAGGCTAAGTCTTCTATTAACCCCAGCTGGCAATTGAGTCCTTCTTGGTTTGGAAAGATGACAATTGAAAATTTCCTTCAAAAAGACATACTCCTTGGTCTTTCTTAAGTGTGTATGTTTAATGTTGGAAAAACAAGTGCTTTAACATTATTTCTCATTCTTTTCAAATAAACTGACTCAGAGATCGGGCAAGATATGAAATTATTTGCAAAGATACTTTGATTAAGGATACTTTGATACTTTGATAAAGCAAAATGGCTTCCCCTAAATTCAACCAATCTCTTCCCTCCTGAAAAAATCCAGCTCAACAAAAACAACCCAACTGCTTTGCTCCCTCTCCTCAAGGGGTGAACAGAAAAAATACAACTAAAACACATTGCTTCTGTTTCTTCTACACACACAGAACACACAGTTTTACATGACATTTCTTCTAAAGGCTCCATTTTCATTGACTGTCCAGAAACACAGAAAGTGTTGAAGTTGAAGCGTTACATTTAATTTAGAACATTAACTTTTAGAATGTTAGCATTAAAGATTATCCTTTGGGGAACAGTGAAAAAGGCAGGAGACCTCAGATCTGGTAGTGTGCAGCTATGTTAATTACTGACTATCACAGTGCCGGAGCATGAGGAGCTTGAAGGCAGGTGGAGCAGGAGTCAGCCAGTGGCAGAGCTGAGTCCCTGCTCAGGGATTCCACACCTTTGGCTCCAGGCATCCATTCCCTCTGTGTCCTGTCCATGACCAAGCTTTATAGTGCCTGGGAGCATCCTGAACACATGCTAGTTAACTAGAGCCAAAGGAAAGAAGACAGTAAACTACTCTGTGCACACACTGAGGAACTGGAGGTGAACTAAAGGCAGCTACATGTGCACTCTTCCACTGAACAGTCAGCTCCTTCCCTGGGCCACAAAGGGGCTTGAGCCCAAAAGAGAAATTGGAAGTTATAACACACTTCCAAACATAGCTGGTTTTCTCAACCCCATTCCTGCAAATGGACTCTCCTGATATGTGCCAGAAATTCAGGCCAAAGCAGATGGGAAACATCATCTGGCAAAAATCACAGATTAAATGAGCTTATGATTGGTCTGTTAGGGAGCCATAGCACTACTGGCACCACAAGAAATATCACCCAATTATACATTTGTGTACAGGACTGAGTTAATAAATGCACTGTCAGGCAAAAAATCTGGGCCTAGTGATCCTAGTTTCGACTGTATCATCCTTGCCCATGGCTGTTCATTGGTCAAATCTCCATTGGTACTAACATGCAGTCACTCTGAAAGATTTATACTTAGGGCATCTCTCCTCCAGACTCACTATATCTTTTTGTTTAGGAAACCATTTTAATTACTCAGCACAACTGTTACAGCAGCTTCTATTTTGAACTTTCACTGGGCCATTTACTATGGGAACTGACTTCCACAAGAGAAGAAATTCCATCATGCTCTGGGCTCATAACACATTACTTGGCCACTACTGAAAATAAATCAAAATGCTCTTACCAGTACAGACATCTCCACAACATCTGATGGCTGAAGGTAAGCTGGGTCTACTTTGGGCCAGGACTGATGCAGAACATCAACGTCCCAGTGATGATGAGTACAAAGTTTATTCTGCACATGTGCCAAACCTGGAAAATGAAAGCAGTAAAACATTCATCTGTACATGGTAACCAGAACATTTGGTCTCTGGAATTTGTTTGACAAATTAGATCAGGATAAAGCTGACTTTAAAAGCAAGTGCCATAGGAGGAAATAACATTGTTTAGATTAGCATACAACACGTTATAAACAGAAAGATTTAAATCTTTGAAGTATTTGTTTTATACCATGAGTAAGGATATTAACAATGTGGGCACACTTTAAATTTGAATTAACACTCTATAACTTTGCCAAGAGCACAGAAGACTGCTGCTTATTATTTTAAATTGTAATCCTGCAACATAAGCTGACCTCTGCTTCTAAAAGTCAACCATAATACTGCATTTATTTTCAGTAATGCCACCAGTTTGATTAGTATTTTACTAACAACTGAGAATGATAAATGATTATGCCTCCTTTTACCAGCTGTAATATGCTGGCTAGTTTCTAAATTTGCAAGTCAAGCTACTTGCAAGATTTTTTCTATTTTGTGAAGTATATTTTCTCACAAATTAAAGGTGATACAAAGGAATGCCTTTCAGAGCTTGCTCTCCTTGTTATGATTTTTAAATTCTGAAACATTTTCTCCTTCAATTTTATTTTTAAAAAATTCTAAAATAGCTGTAAGTGATCTCCTTTTATTAAACTGGTCTTCTCAAGATAATTAATTTCTGATTTGTTTAAGTAACAGGAGAATAGGATGCAAGTCATTCTGAAGCTGTATTCTGTAACTGAATAGAAGCTCCTGAGTGGGATTTATGTTGCTGTTTGCTGCAGCTATATGACAAAATACAAAGACTTCATTTAACAAGATGCTGTCAAATATAATTAATATTGATGATTATGACTCTTGTGATTCTGACAGAGTCAGGAGATTTTTTAAATTAAAAGCATTCTCTGCATATGAATAAGAACACAGACTAAAACTTTTATAAGCACATGCTTCCTTCAGGGCTGCAAAATGAAATCTTTTCTGGATGTGAAATTTCTTCTGGTTTCGGGAAACTCTATCAAAAGCATAAAGAAAACCCATTCACACAAGACTCACTGGTGAGACTGAGGCACTGAAGCTGTTCAAAACAGCAGGACAGCAGCCACAGGCACCCACCCAGCCCATGCACAGAGCATCCATCAATTCAGCTGGCTGGGTTGTTTAGGCTGATACGGTGAGTAACAGCAAACAGGGACAGAAAGAGCAAGCAGCTTCCTCCAGAAAAACCCACCACATTTTTGTCAGTGCTTTTTTGGACAAAGTGCTTTGGTAAAATGACACACAGCTGTGCTATTTGCTGAGTGACTCAGACAGGGACAGTGGGGAGCACCGATGGGAGCTATTTCTAATGGCAAGCAAGAACATGCACATTTCCTAATGACAACAGCTATTTGTTAGGTAAATAATTTATTAAAATGCCTCAGTGGCACTCATTCTGTGTATTTTTTTTTCTTTTGAAGCAGTACTCAGAAACTGAGAGAGCAAAAGATAGGAACTCAAGCAGAAAAAAAATCTTCATATTGATGATTCATTATCACATTGACTGTAAAGAAAACAGCTGTTAGATTCTTTCCTTTTTGGCTTCTGAACACCCAGATGACTTCACTTCTTTCCAACTGATCACATGTTTTGTGGCAGAAGCATGCACGCTGGCCATTCCTTATTTTACTGTTGAAGAGAATTCTTCAAACTATTTAAAACCCACTTTCTGACAGACAAATTTCTATCTACAAAAGCAAAACCAGGGTCCCTTTTAATTCCTGTGGAGGCTGTCAGTCACAATAAACTGACCAATAAAAAATAATCAAAATTTATCCTGAAGCAAAATGTGAGTAAGCTCAGTGTCAATCTTTTGGTTCATTTTCTTGCTACAAAATGAGCTATGAGCTCATCCACAGAAAAAGAGAGTAGAAAAGTCAACAGAACTAATTTGAGAAAACAGTTTGACAGGAAACCAAAATGAAGGGTTTAGTTGTGTTGCCTGTTTGGCTTCCTGCCTTAATTCACATTTTGTAAGCTGTAGAACACAGAAAACATAATGATTTGGTTTGTATTTTCAAAATTCAACACTCTAAACCAGAAACTTCATCACTCTGATCCAGAATGGTGATTGATAAATTAAAAATGGACAATTTCTGAAGCTTTGATTGTGAAAACATGAAAAACATCTCTTGTCTTACTGTACAGGAAAGTGCCTAGTGAAGTGCATTTTATGAAGTGGTGTGCATTTTGCATCATATTTTTTGATGCAATTTTCTTTTATGGCTACAGATTCTCTTGCAGATGCACAACAGAAAGATAACAGTAAATTTTTAACTTACTGTAAGCTTTTTACTTATATGTATCCATCTGTGCAGGACAGATCAAAGACAATACTTGTGTTCAGTCTGAAGTCCTGACCTTGCTATTGGATCTGCTTCAATGGACTTCTACTGATTAGCAAGCAAATATTAGAGCAAGGTTTCCCTAACCAGTAACTCACAGCATTGAAACCCATTTTAAAACACCAAGTTAAACGAGTACTATAGTATTGTAAATTAGCAAGTTGAGAGAAAGAGGGGACAGGACCAGTCTAACAACTTTTCAGCTCAGGGCAATGTTTTACTAACATTACAGGAGTATTTCATAAGCATAATACTTCCCCTAAGGTGCTATTTGACAGGGCAGAGCAGATTCTCATTTTAAAGAGATTTAAAAAGGAAGACGTGGGAGCAATCGTGTATCAGCAAGGTGTTGGAACAGAAAGGTAACTCTAGTCCTACAGAAAAAAAGCACTGGAAAAAAATTATCTGTAAAATTCCAGTAATTGTGCGGCTACTTAGACATAAAATTATGCAGCCCAAGGAAAAGTTGTGATTATGAAGTAAATTGAGAAAGAGCTGGCTTGTGACAAGCCCTGGAGAGGTTAAAGCAGAGAAGGAAATGAAGATGGAAGTCTTAATGGGTCATAAAAGGAAGCTAATGAAAGCATCTGAAACAATGGCAGTATCAGAGTTTAGGATTAGGGATTTTCAAAGAGAAAATAAATGCAAGAAGATCAGAAGGGGAAGTACAAGATGACTCTGAGGGTGAATAACCAAATACTGCGAGTTTAATTAAAAAGTCAGATCAGAAGTGTGTAAGAGCAAGTGAAGAGACATTTTGGGTGAGTATCTACTTGCCTGTGAAACCTCTTTCTGGCATTGTTGCCATGATACTTTGTTCTTGATATTCTCTTTACTATTTAATGAATCTCCCTATTTGACAGATTTGGGCAAGTTACATATCCGAAATTTCTTTCTGCAGCTCAGGACGAATATGTCTGTCAGTCACATGTGAAACAATCTGCCATCTCAAAGAAATGCCAACAGCTGTTTCCAGACAGCTCTGAGAAAAGCTGCATTATACCATTGGTATAGTAGTACAGAGCTAGGATGTGAAAAGCATGGGTTACTGTAAGCTAACTCTAGGATGTGCTTGCAATCCAGCAAACTCCACACAAATCCTTTTAGCTTTCTTAAAACAATCTGTCTTCCTCCATTTGAAAGACTTTCTCTACTTCCTCTTATGCTATTACTCTTGGAGAAAAAAAAATTAATTTCCAAATCATGTTTCTTATTGGATTTGTGAAGAGGGATTTCTACGTTCAGATTTTCAATTAAAACCTGCAACATCAATTAGCTTTTACTCAACTCCATTCTTTTCAGCTCTTTTTGAGCAAGGGCTGAATTCAGGCAAATTCTTGCAACAGAGCTATTGTAGAGACAATTAAAATATTGCTAAGACAGTGGTACCATAACAAATTCAAAAAATTATGTCTAATTTCAGCATTTCCTAAGATATGTTTATTGAAGGTCTACATATCTTTCATGAGCCATCTCTAATAAAAATTTAGCAACTCACAATAAGCAGTTTCATATCCTTGTCTGAACAGCAAAACACTGTACTACTACAAACAAACTAAAAAAAAAAGTCTCATATGTGTCCGTATATTCCTTAGATACAAGGTTTCAGGAAGGAAACAGATTTCCTCATCCTGTTAGTGTTCATAAACTGCCAAGATATCAGCCGGATGAACTCTTCCCACACTGAGGGGCTACGGCTGCTTTTTATGTTATTGAGCGATAAACCAGCGCATTCTGCGCACAATTAACACCAGCAGGCTGACACACCACAACACCAAAAACTGCTCATCCTCTGAGGGCGGAGAAGAACTTCTTCACACACAAAGTATCTTGGGCTGCTGCTGTTCAGCTGCTGAAAGGTGAGGCACTTACAGAACAGCAGTCAAGCAGCTTCCATCAAAGCCTGGGGTCCACTGCTATAGGTGCAATTTATAGAACCTACAATATACAAACTCCTTTTCCTGACCAAGTTACGAAAGAGGAAGCAGCATTATCCTGACATTTAGATGCAAAGCCAAGGTACAAAAGGAGAGATATATTCTCTGAGTATGAAGAAATAGACACAGAGAAAACTAAACAGAGTATTTAGAAACCTTAATTTTTGTATTGAAATAATTTAAAATAGTAAAGCATTATCGCTTACACACAACAAAGTTTGAGAAATTGGTTACATTAGAACAGCAACAGGACTTGGTGGAACCAGAGTGCAATTCAAAACTTGGGGAATTTTTAATATGAAATTTTAATCCCAGGACAGAACTGATAGATGCTGGCTATTTCAAAGTAATACAGTATTCTTACCACAATGCAGCAGTTAAATGTACACACATTCTCTGGATAAAATTGTTTAATAACTTCAGCATAATGCAATGATTACCATGCTAAAAGATACTGTCATTTTCAAATTTAGCAATAAAATTCTTCAGGCAGTAATCAACACACTATGGTTTTTAATGATTGCTGCGCTGAATTACAGCGCACGTCTTTGGTCCACACAAGTAAAATTTTATCTTTAAATGCAGACAGAGGCTGAGGACAATACACTTCCAATTTTTATATGCTTCCTTTTGATTCTTACATCAGAGGGAGATACAGAAAATGTTTATCAGTTTCATTCTCCAGTGATTTTAGTAGCAAGAAAAGACTTCCTTATCTAACATTCAAAACACTACAGGATTAAGCTTCGTGTTTGACAAGTTGTTAATTAAGATACCCTAGTGCTCTTTGTCATTTTATCAACCATAGCTGGTAATTCTGAATTTCCTAACATGTATTAGAATTCCAAGTTTAGAAGGCACTGTATGTATAAGTAACTATTCTGAATCTCTTCTGTCTCCATCTCAAGCAATCAGGAAAACAGTCATGATAATTGCTTTTATTTAGCATTATTTTAATTAGATGGCACATCATCATATATGACCAGATGGATCATGTCTGATGCCACTCTTTATTCTAGACTTAACCTCCTAGTAAGAGATTTTTAAATCACTTGAAATGAAAACACATGCAAAAAACCCAACCCACTCTCCCTACCGTATCTTGCTGCTTCCACAGGCTCTGCTTCTTTGTTACTGCTTTGAACAAGAGCAGTCTTTCCTTGGCAATTAACATTGCAGGCCATGCCCAACACTGAAATACCATCAGTTTAGTAGCACTGCTCTGCAAACACTTGAATGCACAAACCATTGAAAATAAAACAATTAAAACAGCATCCAAAAGCTAACATTAGGTCCAAAACCACACAGCAGTTTGTGGCCAGCCACAATGCAGAATATACTCCCATTTTCCCACATGCATCTTGGGACTTCTCCCAATAAACCTTACAATCAGTTGCTAAACTCTGGCATGCACATCTCTTATTTCACAGGCTTTAACTGTATCAGCACCATGCAACTTAGTCCATTTGGTATTCCAACCTGTGCAACTCTGACAGGTGTTAGAAAAGATACCCTTTTCTACAACTCCCATTCTCCATGGCAGGGTAATTTACAGCATAGTGTCCCTCAGTCTCTGCAGCATCCTAAAAGGACAGGATTTTTATTGAACATTCCTTTAGTTCGTTTTACTATCCAGCCCTCTGATATGGTTTGCTTTGCCTGAATTCCTGAAGGAAAATATTTGTAGTCCAAAGGCTCTGACACAGTTATTTAAAAAAGGGCTGTTTCTGCCCAGGTGTTCAGCTCTTAATAATGCCATCCATATCCAGGAGCAGTTAGCAGATGACATATGAATTCCTCATGCAAGTCCTGTCTTGAATTGTTCTTCTAGCTCCCTTTCTCCACCTAGTTTCAAGAAATCCACCTCTGTATGGAAGGAAAAATAAACCAAAGGCAGAAAGGAGAGATGTGGGAATGACCGAAGTTCAAATTTGTTTAACAATTATGAAAGAAGGTGACAAGCTAGATAAAGAATTCAGAGGTAAGTGACATGTGCTGAGTTACAGACATTTTTGCAAATTTCTTGTCCTTTTGCCTACAACACCTGTATGAAGTTTATAAATACCTTTCCACATCTCTGATGCAATGTGAGGAGCCATAGGTGCAACCATAATGCAGAGGGAAGCCAAAGCATCTTCAAATTCTCTGCTGTGGAGAACAAGAGGCCGAGGAGCTTGCTGAGTGAAAAAGCAAGGAAAAAGAAACAAACTATTAACATTCCGAGGTGGGGAGGAAAGTAGTTTAATTAAGAAGAAAATGCAGTAATAAAACCTAAAATCAATGTCTATGCTAAGGAGAGTGCATTTTCACAATAAATTGGAAACTTATGATACTGGAGAATTAAAATCACAACTCTTAGTCATAGAGTGCTCTCTAACACTTAGAAGCTGATCCTGAAATGGATCATCCTGAAACTGCCATCATCATCCTGGTGAAGATCCTTGGGGATCTGCTCTAGCATAGAACTCTGAACACACACTCATGTGGACAAGAGTGGCCCACAAAAGCATTTTTAGTGCTGCCTTTTCTAGAAGTGCAATCTTAGGCAAAACCAGAGCTATCTGAGAAGAGGTGAAACACTTGTATATGACAGTCAAATTGTGCTGAATGCAACATAGATTTTGATGGGACAAGGTTCATTTCTACAGGATCATAGAGTGGCTTCAGTAAAGCTGAATTTAGTGACAAAGTGAGGTTTTAGAGCTGAAGAAAGCTTTGGGAATGAAAGCACAGTGAAGTCTTTTACAGTTTTATGTTCTCATTATTTTAGTAAAGTGTCTGCCTTCTGTAGTATAGAAAATGTTCAATTTCTGGCAAAAAGGAACTTGACTGACAAAATCTGAACTCCATTTCCCCATTTAACTCAACTTACAGAAAAAAAGATACAGCACTAAAAGTAATCAGATGAACTTTTTTATTCTTTGCCTAAGAGATCACATCCCATGGCAAATTCAGCTGATGCATTTATTTTGTAATCTATCTCTCTCATGAAACAGCACAAAAAATGTCAATACATGTCAACTTACAAGGATTATTTGATGTGATGAAAACCCATTCTCATCAACTAGAAAATGGTCCAAAACCAGTGATTTGCTTGACCGCAAATGTTGTCAGAGGGCATCTTATCACTTATAGTGCAAACTATATTGAGTAAGATTTAGCAACTGCTACCCACTTTCAATGTTTAATCCTTGCCCACCTCTCCACTTCCTCCTTTTAACTAGGAGCAAAAGAGGAAGAGTCAGCATGCAATGTGGAAACTTATTCTTCAAAGATACTGCACTGTCTTCTTTGCTCAAGAAATACATCAGTGTTCAAGTATCTGGCTGTCTGTAGGACCCTGAATTTTATCTTTTTTAACATTCATTCCACCATCCATTAGCCCCAAATGCCTATGAGTCATTGAAATGGAGATAAAGAGCTGGGTGTTACCTTCCCAACACCATACAGGATGCCAGACTTAAATTGTTTCAGTACAGCACCTGTGCACAATGTACTTAATTTTTTGTTAAGTTCCTTGATTTTGCTAATAAGCACCTTGGAATCCATAATGTATAAAATGGTATTTCAATAAAGAAGCTAAAGCTTTCAAAATTATATTTAATTTTGGGTCAATATCAGGTTACCATTATATGCCTGAAGGACTGCTCAACCAGATCTAAGAGTAGTAACAGAAAATAATGATAATAGTTTATTATTTTTAATCTATCACCACTGGCTGATAAACAACATAATCTAAATTAAAAATCTTAAAACTTAGGTTCAGCAGTGTAAGCTGTCTTTGAGGACTGACTGTGTGTGATTTTCCTTGCAAAGAATAACCCTTTTAAAATCAGAATGTTTGGTAATTCTATAATGTACTACTATACCTAGCTACCTATGTAACTTGGCTAAAATCAAGAGAACAAAGAACAGAACTAAACAAAATGTATCCTCTTCAAATTACAGGATGCAGACATAAACATCAGAATCTGTCTAATCTGATCTAATACCATCAAGCTCCTCCTGCAAAACTGTTTATATTTCAGGGTTACAGTGATACCAGAACATGCTTTTGAACTGAGTGTAACTCAACAAGGCTCTTGACTCAGTAATACTGGTTATGAAGTTAATGACTTACAGAAAGCTGGACCTATAGTACAGGCAGTTCCTGCTTGGTAGAAAGACTGACAGGAGCAGAGTCTGAGAGAAAAATACCTTCATTAATATCCCATACTTACATGGAGTACATTTGTGAGGCTCATCAATCGGGAAATAGCTGCATTGAACAAATGATCCTTTGTGAAGTACTCGGTTACCTGTATTAGAACAAAAAGTCTGTTATTAGTAACTTAAAATTCTGGGTTTTTAAAAATGGAAAACAATTACTGGTAACCAATTTCAATTTGTGAAATATGTGCATCTTACCTAAAGTGAGGAAAATCACTTTAGTACACAAACACATCATATGTGCAATCACAGGTGTGGAGGGGAAAATAACAATCATATAAAAATTCAATTGATTAGCTTCCCTTCTGTTTTGAGATTTAAAATGTTTCAGTCAATGAAAAATGTGCATTAGTCACCCTTTATTTCCTTTAATAAAATATCTTCCCTTTGCCCCTTCAAGAGGCCTTCTCTCTTGTAAATCCATTTATACTGGTGAAAACTTGTTCATAGATCACAAGATTAAAATTATAAAGTCTGTTAAATGATCTGGAATATCCCTCACAGCAGGGTTTAAACTGGCAAAAGTTTTTATCCACAGAAAATTACTTGAAGTTAATTTTGCAGGTATTTACGTTTTCTTCTGAGTCTTGGATAACTGAATTGATACCAATCACAGCAGGAGACAACAAATAACAAGAGAAGAACAACCACTTCAGTATTTCTTTCAAGGCTATGCTAATATATTTTCACCAGTAGCTTTTTTCATTCTATATGAAACAGCAGGCACGATAATGAGATATGAAGCAAACAGACCAAAGCTTTTGTTAGGGTAACCCACAGAACTCACCTAAAGTTTTGTTACTTGAAATGGAGTTACTTGAATCCCAGATTGACAGAACTTTATTGTCATAACATTTCATTCCTTAATGAGGCATACATCATTTGCCCCACAAAATTTGTAGGTAGACAAAATTATTTACATAAAGAATAATTCAGTTTAAAAAATAGCTACTCATCTGGGGAAAAAGCTTTTGGCTCTGTAAGTCAAACACAGGGTTTTAGCACAACAAGCAACTTATTTAGCAATTTAGAAACTATGTAAGTGTTTCTTTTAACCTCAGAAATCACCAGATTCTTCTGCTCCCAGATCTTTCTGGCTTCAGCCTTCTCTTTCTTATTCAGAAGCTCAGGATTGGGCATGGTTCCTGAAGTCCTTGCTTCAATAAGTTTGGTTACAAGTGCCCAGAGGCGTGTCTGCCATCTCTGAACGCCGGGCATGGCATCAGCTGAGATTAATGAAAGATTTCAGAAACAAATGTCAGTTACAAGTAAAGAATTCAACACTGTAAAGAAAAGCAGGAACAGAACATTGGAGATAAACATTTTTAAAAAACACTCTCTATTTTAAATGAAAGACATCAATGCAATTAAAAATTTCTTTAGAAATAATGTGAGTTGCTTGAATGAAAAAAAAACAGTAAGTATTTTTCTGCAAAGACTTTAAAGCAGATATATATAGCAAGAATACAGCATAGAATATTTACTAAAATCTGTAAAATAATTCAATATTATCTCAATGCTAGAATGCTCATCTGTTTTAATGACTCCACAAAGGAGTTGTATGTGCTCTCATTTTCTGAACTCGTGGCAGAATACAAACATATACACAAGTATGCATACACATATATTTTCAAATTGAGAAGTTTCTTTTCAGATTTGATTTCAGCAAGTATGTATACTTTTGTTGCTAGATATGCTATTGTGCTAATGAGTACAAGCTCACCATACTCACACCATGGGAGAGAATGACATGAGCCCTGCATTATGTCCACCACTGAGAGGACAAGGAATTTAGTCTGAGGGCCAATCATCCAAAGGCTATCCCATCCAGAGGAGAGAAGGGTCATGTCAAATGAGAACCACTATTTAACATTCTCTGAATGAAAAAATTTCCTGTGATGGCTTTGCATGGTAAAGTTTTGGTAGGGAGATGCTACAATGATGACTCCTCTGGGAAGATTCTAGGAGATTCCTCCATGTCTGACAGAGTCAGTTGAGCCCAGGAAACAGGAAGGGATGATGGGAAGGTGTAAATTTGGTTTTACTTCTCATTACTCTAATTTTAATTGGCATTACATTAAATTAATTTCTCAGTCGAGTCTGTTTTGTCCTTGATGGCAAATGCTGAGCAATCTCCTTGCCCTTACCTCAACCCACGAACATTCTGTCGTACTTTTCTCCCTCTATCCAACTGAAAAGCAAGGAGTGACAGAGCAGCTTGGTGGGCACCTGACATCCAGCCCAAGGTCAAACCCAACACAACCTGCCTAACTTCTTTAATTTAAACATTCATGATGTTGTTATCATCATAAATTCAGAACAAAGCATAAAGATATTTAAGAGATGCTTTTCACCTAACTTTCTATTTTCTTCTCCCCTGGAAATATCTTTAGGCAGCTAAAATCTCCTTTTGCTCACATTTTCCAATACTTTTAACACGAGATGATGCCAAAATTTTCCTTTGTACTTCTAAAGTGGTAAACAGGTTGGCTTCAATGACTAAATACATTTTTGCTAGTATTATAACTGCGCATTCTTAGCTTTCTTACAAAAATGTTTAATCACCAAGCTCTCATATACTTTGCAACTAAGATTTGGTACACATTATCCTCACAGTAATTCAAATATTTCATTTTCAAGATCAGAAAATACAGCAAAAAGTTTGTGCATCACCAAATTAGCAGCCTCAGAGGGAATTGTGTACCTGTGTAGTGTTTGGGATGCAGCTGTTAAGGCTTCATTCTAAGTGATTCATTTTTTTAAGAGACCTTTTCAAATGCCTAGCTCTCTACTGTTGTGATTAGGTGGTGACAGAAAGCCAGCTGAGAACTCACAAAGCCCACTCCTCCTGTGCATACAATAGTGCAACAATATATAAAGGAACATAAATGAATACAAAGCATGACAGACACAACTGAAATAAAGCTTAGTGCAGGCTGAACTAAGTGGCAAGAACTTAACATGTGAAAGAATGAAGAACTACACTTTTTGAAACCAAGAATGGATTGTTTTATTAAAGCCTTATGAAACAGGAAGGTGAAATGTAAATGAATACATAAGACTACATTAAAATGTATGAACCACAGTAGATAAAAGAAATTAAGACCTTTCAGTATGAGGAATGGCATGACAGGAGTAAATAAATGCACAGGAGGGTAATTCTTAACTTACTCAAGAAGTAAGCTCATAAAAATGTCATATCTAGAAATATTAATTACTAGGAACTCTGATTATCTTCTAATGAGATTCTTTCTGAAAACTATTTCATAATCCAGCTTACAAAAGCCATTGCATGCTTGTTAATAAACAGAAATAACAAAATATTGTAAAGTTGCATCTCTGATCTGATATGATTAGAAAAAACCAGATTATAAAGAAAAATAATTTTAATTAATCAATTATTGCTAATTAAAAAAAAAGATAATGAGGTCCAAGTTTTCAGAAGAAAATACAACTTAAGAAATAGTTTTGTATGTGCTTTTAGCTTATAAGAGGTAAGCTGCTTGCAATAATCTTGTAAGTTTGCCTCAGTGACAGCTTTGTGATTCTCTCCTTTAAAAGAAACAAACAATAAAACCTGTTTATGATACTTTTTTTATTCATTTTTTCCAAAACTTGGGCACGAAGAACTGTATTAATTTTGTGTTTAAAATATACTACTTGAGAAAAAAGAAGCATATCCACAAGAAAACAAACTACAGAAAATAATCTGACTTACTTTTAGCATCCCACAAAATGTCTTGTTCTGGAGGAGCAGCAAACAAGATGTAAAGGCGCAGGGTGTCGATGCCATACTCTTTCACTATTTCCTCAGGGTCTATTCCATTGTACTTGGATTTGCTCATTTTTTCCCAAGCAACTTGGAGCTTCTCACCAGTTTTTAGGTGGACTGGTTCACTTCCTAAATATTAAGACATACAAAACCACTGGAATAAATTTTGCTCACTTGTAAGAGCAATTAATTTTGTTCCCTAAGCATGAGAAGAAACAACTGTTGCTAGCATTTTGGTTTTTTTTTTTTTCCAAAACAGCTTAAAGAAGAATACCACCCATTCCAAACACTCTTTTCCCTCCCAAATTTTTCTTGTGTTAATGTTCTGAACACCAGTAATATCCTAAAGCTTCCATCACATCATGATAAAAAGTCTCCTACCACTTGGAAGCTGTATCTGGCATGCATCCTAAGTGTTGCCTTGACAGCTCCCGATATTTAAACTTTTTTATAACCATGACATTTAAAACTTCATAGATAGGTGTACTGATTTGACACAATTCTGACCTGCACTTAGCTTTTGCAAATACCAGAGTTATAGGTTTCAACTGCAGTAAGTTATCCTGAAAAGAGTGTGTTTTCTCTTGCATGAATTTAGAGACAGAGTGGGGCATTTACACTTAAAAAGGTGCAACTGAGTAAAACCCTCTGCTAAAAAACCCCAATATTTTCTAGAAGAAAACAGGGTAGCAGAAAGTGGTAAAACTTAAGAGGGTGGATTGGTGGGTTGATTTTTAACTGTCTTACAGGGTTTGTATTCAGTGCAAACGAGGATGTATGAGAGAAATGCTTAAGAGGCAAATATGACCAAACATTTTTGTTGCTACAGGTCCCATAGCAATGACTGGTCCAGCTTATGCAATGAAGGCTCTGCAAAGAACTTGAGAATGAGCACTGTTTCCTAAAGGTTTTACATTCCTAATATCTACTGAACACACCTGCACCTGTGTTAGTTTTGCTGTAATGTTTTTGTAGGTTGTCTGTTTGCTGGGCCTAACTGGCTCCATTCAGCAGGCTGCTGAGCGCTGTCTTAACAAAACTGACTTTTGATCTTTTGGACTACACTGGAGCCAAAATAATACCACAGTACTATTTCTATGTTTGGATGCAATTAAAAGCTGCTGTATTAGTAGGATCTCTGTGTACTCAGCAGCATGTGTAAATTCAAAACTCACAGAAGTTGCTCTCCAGTTGAAATATTAGATTCATTTTCTCTTCCAAATTTTCCCAGCACCGAAGCAGTCCCTGGCTTTAGGAGTGCACCTATGCTGATTTTCCCATGCAGTTTCTCTTACCAGTGAGATCAACCTCCTCTCTCTTCAAACACTGGCCTGTTGTTGTTAGTCTGAATGTCTGATTCTTGATAAGTCCTTGAACCAAGAGCTTATGGAAAGGCTCCCTAAGGACAGAAGGAAAAAGAAATTTCTCTGTTGAAAAGAGCTGTAAAAAGCATATTTTATGATAAGCCTCAGGTGTTGAGCCAATCAGGCACAATTTTTTAATGAAACAAGAATTTCAAGCCGACTGTACATAAATAGTTGTCACCTTAGAAAGAGTACTTTGTGCATTGATTAATGGTGGCTGGCTGGCAATTCTAAGTATTTATTTGCATTCTGCTCACATTCTTGTACCCTAATTTAGTACTAAGTTATTCTAACATCACTTTTCAAATTAGCATATGGATAACACACAGAAGTTCCTTGTACAACAGTACAATTTCCCTAACTTCAAGCTAAATCTCTTGCGTGAAAGCATTCAAGTACCTGGCTTCATTGTCACAAATATTTAGTTCTAGCTTCTCTCTGAGGAGCACAGGATTTTGAACAAATCAAAATGCTGTTGCACATTTCTCTCTATAAACAGATGGAAAAAGCAGATAGATGTTTCTCTAACATAAGCACCCACATGCCTTGGCCCTTTGCAGAACTAGCCAGGAAGGCCTGGCTGTATGAAAAAGTGTACTAGAAAAAGGGCAATGCTGAAAAGTTCATATCTCAGTGCATCAATTTTTTAGCACCTTACTTTTCTAGCAAAATTTACATCAGTGACAGTAAACTCCCATGAAATGAGTGTATGACAGGACTAAAAAGAGCCTTCAAAGTCAGTAGTGCACACAGCAAGAATAAACTCTAAGTAAACACTGCTCTGGTTGACACTATTGTGGCCCCCTCCTTTAATGATCTTGCATTTCTAATGCATTCAGTCACAGTTCTGTCACTGTTTTCACTGAAAAAAAAGGCAACAAAATGAATCTCTAAGGCTTTTGGTTCCCACTCAGTAGAACAGGAAAGTAAGGCAGTTCTGACACAACTTTAAGAACAGCAGGGGCCAGGGAAGGAGGTATGGAGCCAGTCCCAGAAAGCACATACAGGCTGGAAGCCTTCTCATGGGACCCTCCAGCACAGGGACATCAGTCACCATCGTTTTGGAGGACATGATCATCAGCACTGGTTAGTACTGACTTGCACCTCCTAATGCTGACATGTGTGTGCAACATTAAACAATCTGAGTTTTCAACTTTTTACCTAATGAAACCTGAAATGTGTACAAGACAACTTATGTAAAAGGATGCATTATTTCTATTAACTTTTAAAAAGTCAGAGCATACCCATCTAAAAAAGAAGTAGCAAAACCAGACTTCCACATTTTATTTATTATGTGTACAAAAAAGTCATAATCCAAAACATGATTCACTGTTAAGAAGTTAATATAATATTTTAAATTATTAAGAAATATAAATTACATGACAATTTATCTCACAATTTAAATTATAGAACAATTAATATTTTAATAATATAGTATTATTAAATTATAGAACAATTAGGCATGTTTCTATCATATTAAAGCAGGTAAATTCCAAGTACTAGTCCTTAAACACTTTTGATGACTCTGAAGTAAGAAGATATTTGAAAACAAAACTATAAACTGGGAGACAAAGTGACAGGCTTCATATTTTATCTTCAACATGCTCAAGTTTGAACATGAGCTTCCTTCCTTACATATTTTGTATACTTACAAATATTGTGTCAGTACTGGCACATATTGATGTATCACTCAGCCACAAAGAAGTATGAGTCCCTGCCACGCCACCAGGTTTTAGCAACAATGTTAACTAAGAACAACTCAAGCATCTCTATAAATATTTTGTAGATGATATTTCAGAGGCTGATGAAAAATCTTGTTGTTTAGAAGTAAAGGAACTTAAGGGAATGAGAACTGAAGTCAAATTTAGACAGCAAAATGAAAAAAGTTAAAAACAGGATTCAAAAATAATCTAAAATACCAAAAATTATTATAAATTATCCAAGTGAATTAGAAGGTAAAAATTGGGAACAAAAACTTTGTAACCCTATCAATAACAATGGTGGGAAAATGTTTCAGGATAAAACAGTTTATGATACATTTCTTCTGCCTCTACAATCTAGAGACATAACACTACTGGAAAAAAAAACTCCCTCCCTATCATTCAGTACTTCAGCCTGTTTAAGATCTCAAACAGTTATTAAAATAGCTACACTTCCTGCTATCTAAAGTAAAGCTAATGAGGTAGCCAGATCATCCAAATCAGATAGGGCTCTCCACTGGAAGTGATTTTTCAAGGAACACTTATTTTTAATGACAAACAGTTAGTTCAGATCATACGCCAAGTTACTAAAAACTGAATGCAGGAACAAGCATTTCTTATTTTTGTTTATGCTGACAGAGGCTACAAAAATGCAATACAAAATACATTACCAAGTATGGGGAAAATAAACCCCAACCATGTGTCCCTAGTGGGAAACCACAGGAGTATGGAGACATGCCCAAAAGGAGAAAGCCAGAGCCCATCTGCTAAACACAGGGCTCTGAACCAAACTGCGTTCAGTGATTTTGGCATTGTGCTGTGCTGGCTCCCTCTCATGTTCACATGCAGAGTTACACTTGAATTCATGTTAACAAAACTGCACACCTCAAACAAGCCCCTTCAGAGGCAGGGATGCACTTCTTGGCTGTAAGGGAACTGCCAAGGGCTGCAGCACAGCAGGGATGATGCAATTCTGACCTCAATGCTGCAGCACCCATGGTCATGGCACCATAAATACCTCCTGATCCAAAACACCAAGAATAATGAAATTAAGCCACTTTGAGACACACTGACATTTCTGGCATAGAAGAGGAGTCTGGAGTTCCTCTGAATGCTTGATCATGTTTCAGACCATAGATATAATGGAATGGGATAGGCTTTCACCTGCCTGTGAAGTTTGTTTGTGCTCATGCTGGAGTATCTGCTGTGAGTCTTTTGCTCATGTTATACACCCACCTGCAAAGTGTGCCTGACACGTCTGAGAAGGCTCAGCTGTGCTAGTAATGAAATCTGTAATCCTTTCCTTCATCTTTTCCTTTCTCTAATGTTCATACACAAGTTCATCTCTATGAGAGACCAATCTAGGACCATGCAATGGATGGTAGGGCAAGCACAACGGACAGATCAGGAATTCCTGCTCAGCGCCATGGTCTCATGCTCTTTGCTTTGTTCTGTGCAGGGTGACCAGCAGGGCTTTCAATCCTAGTACAAATGACCTGGCTGGAAGAACTCTGTGGGGCCTGCCACAGTGATAAAACAGTGAATTCAGGAGAAGGGATAGCCCTAGCCAGGGAGCTCACTGCATGTATTTGCACCCTGCACCTTTAGAAAGGATGAGAGAGTCCGAGTGCTGCGCCCCTGAGTGAAGACAAGACTACACCAGTCACTATTGGCTGAGTTCAGGGGGCTGTGAAACCTGCTGCTAGATACGGCTCTGCAACCTTGTGCAGGTGACTGAAGGATATAGAAACAGATAATTTTAGGGAAAAAAAAGATAAAACAATATTGAATGTTCAAGATTCCACACAGTTAACAACTGAGAGCTTTTGCTTAAAATCAGCACTAGAGATAAGGTTCTAAACGAATGCAGAGAAGCTGTAGCATTGTTCCTTCACAGAATAAGCTATTTCTGTCACATACAGTCTTTTATTCTGTAACTCAGCTACGTGAAAAATAGTGCCTTCTTACTCAGCAGATTTGCCCTCTATCAGAGTCAAATCTGCTGACTTAACGGCAACAACAAAATTTTTTTATTGCTTTCTAACTCTTTAGGGAGAATGTGCTAGATTCTATTTCCAATTATTCATTAGACAGAGGTGATTACTGAAGTCTAGGGCAGAACCAAATTCTGTGTAACTTGTACTTGCACAGATGAGCAGGTGCACCGGAGAGTGACAGCACACAACTGCCGTGGTGGATTAGGCTGGAACAGAGGAGGAGTTTTCTGGCCCCAGCTGCCTACCTGGCCCCTCTCCCAGCAGTGGTCACAGCTGGGAGGGCTTGCTGCCCTGTGAATTATTTATAGAACCAATGCATTTTACAGACCAGACTGCTAGAACAAATTGACATCAATTTGAGCTTAATCTGATATCACATGTATGAATACCCAGAGGGTACCACTTATTCTGCCTTGTCATTACTGAGAAATTCAGCAGCATTTCTTTCCCACCATCTCCAGTCCAATGCATTAAAAAATAAAAGACCATGCCTCATCTTTAGGGGATATTTAAGCTATACTGACACCTTTACAGTTCTAAATTCTAATTCTAAATGTCTACAAACACTGCATTTTCAGTGAGGGTATGTGTGTCTGTAAGTGCCTATTTCATACATGTTGCCTGTAACATTTCTGTAAAAATCATTACCCCACATTTGGAAAGATTGCTTTGAAAATCCAAACTACAGGAATTTTAATTTCTGTTTTCAACCACATTACCGTATAAACAGCCATTAAAGACTATCCATAATTAAAGGCTACACAGAAGTATTTCAATGGATTTGAACATCACAGGATAGGAGCTAAACAATGAAAATTTCCATCAAGAAAACATATCAAAGAAAAACTACTACAGATAAGCAGGGGAATCATAAAAATTTTTAAGGATGCTAGATGACACTTTAAACGGTGGCAGCTCTCCTTAACTGAGATATAACAATTTTATTTATTTAATCAGTGAAAAAGACCTAAGCTACTAGAGAGAGATTGAAAATGCACAAGAGGGCAGCGTTTTTTAACATTTTAGTGTTTTCCCTCAGAGCTGAGGGTTTTGACATCATGACTTTGAGCTTCCTAACAATAAGCCTGTTGTTTCTAATGACACTTCTCAGATCTTTCAGACCAGTCCTTGAGCAGTTCAAACAGAAGACTGATCAAAAGTGGCTTCTGATTAACACAAAAAATTTAAAATACATGGTAGTATTTATAAAGGAGTTATGATTTCCATATTAAACCAAAATCCTAATTTGACTTCATGGCTTCAAAGCACCTAATGATTTACCTAGCATAGAGCTAAAGCAAGTGAACAATTTTGTGCATGATGATGAATTTGTTAAGAGTCACCTTGCAGTCTGAGCACACATCTAAGCGCACGCCCAGGCAGCTCATACACCCAGCCCTCAGGCAATGCTGTAACACATCTTCACACTGCAACATTGTAGGTGTTGTCACATATCACATGTTGTCACATGTCACACCTCTTGACATTGTATACCATGCCAAAGGAATTCTCCACAGTCTTTCAAACTGCTTCTACAGAAAGCAACTTCTATTTTCTTCTGCCATTGTCACTAGATGTAGTCAGTGCTTCTTAAGGAGTTTTTCTTCACCTAAGGTAGAGTTTTCTTCTGCAATTTACCACATTTAGACCAGGTTATGCTACACAGCTTTTGTGCTACTGCTCTGTCACACCAGAGTGTGAACAAAACACATTCCAAAGAAACGCAGCTACAGAATCACAGAGTCCTCAGAATAATGCAGGTTGGAAGGGACCTTTGGAAGACATTTGGTGCAAATCTTTTTGCATATCAGACCTAACTTCAGGTTGTTCAGGGCCATGTCCATCTGCGTTTTGAAAATATGCAATGATGGAGATGCCACAATGTCTCAAGTCAAATGGTTTCAGTCTCATCACCCTCCCTGCCAAAACTGTATTCCTTCTGTCCTTGCTGCAATCTGTGACTGCTACTCCTTTCCTTTCTCCATACATCTCTGAGAAGAGTCTGGTTCTATCTTCTCTATGAATCTCCTTTAGGTAGCAGTAGATAGCAATTACATTCCCTCCATAGCCTTCTCTTCTCCATGGGGAACACACTCAACTCCTTTAGCCTCTTCTTGTATGTCATATGCTCCAACGCTGACTATGGTGGTGTTCCTCCTCTAACCCTCTTTAGTCTGACAGTGTACCTCACACTGAGGTGAGAGCCTCAAAAGTAGACACAGTATTCCAGTTGTTCCTGAATGATGAGCAGAGATAGCCAAAGCTGGGCATGGTTTTGTTAGAGGAGTATATTGTCATGCCAGCTGCTGACCCACATCCAAATTGCTGTTCATGAGGACCCCTAAGCCCTTCTCTTGTAATCCTCCCCACACAGATGGCACAGCCCCAGATGTTCTGTTGAAGTCATGGTAAAAGATATGCACAGCTCTCTCCTCATCCATAGATGGAATCATGTCACCACAGAAGGAAAGCAGATTAAGTTTGGAATAATTTCTTCTTGGTAAATCCATGGTGGCTGCTCCAGCCACCTTGTCTTTCATGCATGGAACTTGCATGTGTCTGGTTTACTTAAGTGAGCCCTAACTCAATCCTACTCTACAATGGGCAGTAAAGCTTGCCTTCAAACTTTCCTACTAAGCACAGACCTTGACAGCAAAGGCCAAGGCAAAGACTTTTCTTTCTACTTAGGCTCTTTGCTGGATTGTGCATCAGGCCAATGTTTTCCTTGCTGTTCTTTTCCATGTATGTCCAGAGGTTCTTCTTACTATCTTCATGTTCTTCACCAGTTTCAATATCTGATGAGCTATGACCTTTCCATGGTCCACACTGCCTATCCAGTAAAGGCTTCCACATTCCTCCAGGGGTAGCCAATCCTTACCTCCCATTTCCTTGCACTTATTTTGGTCTTCTTAAGGTCACACAGGAGGTCCCTTTTTTGTCCAGCTGGCCTTTTTCCATGCCCTTTTTTCTAGCATACCAAAACAAACCACTTACTTTGCAAGAAAATCTCCCCTGCCCTGTGATCTCACTTTATATTGACAATACTTCAGCCACTAATGTGGTTAATGTAATTTTGGAAGGTTGAAGAATTTGACTAGCAAAAGAACATTTTGCTGTTGTGTGTTACAGCTCCACTAGATGCCTGATGGATTAGGATTGTAAAATCTTTTGTAGAATTAATAAGCCTAAAATTGCTTGCAGGAGAAAGCTTTAAAATTCTCTGCTTGAAGGCACAGCACCTCTGAGAGGAAGGGTCTGCTTTGAAAGATGCACTCAGAGAGAAGAAACAGCCTTCCTGCAGCTACACAGGCTGCAGACAACAGGGTGAAACAGGTACACAAATCATCTACATCCAATATTTCAAACACAGCTTCCACTGCAAGCTACTGCACAGCCAAGAACGAGTTATGAAAACACATCGCCTATTTTCATCAAAATTAGGAAATAACTTGGGGAAACATTCTGCTAGCTGCAGTAACTTGTCCATCTTTTTCTGGCTCACAACTACTTCTATTTTTATAGCAAAACTACAGCATTCAAGTGAGTTCAGTGACATATATATTTAGGCTCTTGTTTAATGTCAAGTTTTCAGAGGGGATACTTGTAAAGAATGAATTTATTTATATGAGTTGCAGCTGAGAAATCACTGAGCAGCTCTTCTCATGGGGCCACTCATTTTGACTCAATCTACTCAGTCATCTCTGCTGACGGGAGAACAGAACAGAGCATGGGCCAGAGTTTCATTGTTCTGTCACTAGCACTCTCCAAGCTGAGGATGGAATTTCAGGGTACAAAAGAGCTGAATTTCAGTGGAAAGGGGGATGTCAAGCTCAGAACCTATCTGAGAGGACAAAGAACAGAACAACAGATGACTCACTTTCTTCCATCAAACTTTACCTCTAACCAAAACACAGAACAGTGAATTAGGCTATAGCAGCAGCAGCAACAAGAATAATTAAAAGTAATTATATAAAATTAATTAAATAAAAAATAAATTGGCATGAGATAAATATATTTCTTTTGCCTATCAAGAACTGTTTTGTACTGCTCAGCCCCAATTATACAGTGACTTATAAGAGTGCTTTGTTTTTTACATATGCATGCTTCCACTGAAATTAATGCTATTACTGGTAGGAAGTTACCTAATTTGAAATAATAGCACTACACAGAATGCCTGAAGTTACTCATTTGTGCATGCTTTTGCAGGCTGGAAATCTACAGCAGCACTTTATCACTTGCTCTGAGCCAGTTAATACTCATGCAATAAAAACCTTTGTATGAGCATTTACAGGAAGTGCAACTCACTGTGAGAAACCAAGAACTGACAAGGCAGGAAAACTCAGGCTTAGTCAATGTAATGTTCCACCATCACGTCAGTGTCCACTAATACACTTATGAGTCAAATGAAATATGAAAGATTTTAAAAGAAATATATAAAGCTTACTTGTGTTTAGTCATCTTTAGATCATGGCAAAAATGGCTGAAGAACCTTGCATAGAATAAGTGCATAACTGCATGCTCCTTTCCTCCGATGTACAAATCCACAGGCATCCAGTAGTCTGCTAAGTCACTATTAAAGGGCCTGAAAAAAACACAATTACAGGGAAAAATCCAGTGTTGAAAAGAAAGATCAGCACTACTAAAGTAGCTCATCATCCTTAACTGGACAACACTGTTTACTGAGAGCAATACATGTGTAATAAAACTTTCAGTTTGCTATCAGATTTTTATATTTTTTTAAGAAGTAAAATGCTTATTATAGATAGAAATTTAGTTTCTTCTGACATGTAGATCCACAAAAAGATTATTTACCTATTTTTCAGGCAAGCAATTACCTGAGAAAGCAATGAAAACACTTGACTGCTCTTTAAACTATTTTTTTGTAAATACTCTGTGGCTGGCTTTAAATTTTTTAGTATCTATCAAGCTATACAAATATATTGGAATGAAAGACAAAAGACACGACCACTTCAAACCAGTTTTTTAATTGACGGTTTGCATTGCTGCCGTTAGGGGGCAATGGTGCAGTTTAAGGCTGCAGAACCCTCTGTAGAGTGAGATGGGTCACTGCACTACAAGTTAAGGATGCTCGATGAAATGACAGTAAATTTGCCATTTACAGCATATTTACATATCGTTGGAAGTCACCTGAATGGTTTCCAAGCATTGCTTATTGCTTCACTGCATATTTCCATGTCTCTGCAGTGGGCCTACGAAATACAATTTGCACAGAAGTGTTTCTCTAATGCAGGCTTCAAGCCCCTGCTCCAACAAATTTATTTGTTTTGTCTGTCTGTCTGATTATTCCATCTGTAATTTTTGCCACAGCAACACTTCCTTCCTCACCGATGAGCCCAGAAGCAAATAATGATCTGGGATTCATGTCTTTGGTGGAAAAAATCAAACCTAACTTGTTCATAGGGCTCCAGAATCAACAGAGTAATTCTCCTGAATGGTAGACCCGTGAAATATGGTTTATGGAAATGAAGGGTTTACATATGCATAGCTTAGTTAAAAGAACTAACTAAATAAATCAAATGCAGGCAGCAATTTAGTGCAGAAGTCCATATAAATGTTCTCATTTCAGTGTAAAACAGATTAGACTACACTAAGCTGTTACTTTGACAGTTGGATGTTACATCTGACTATTTATTCTTCAACTTCTGGAAAAGTCCCTCTTGCCCACACACAAAAAATACTTAAACTGTAATGGAGAGGAAGCAATCTGCCTAACTCAGTAATAGCAGCAATATATTCATGCTAGCACTAGAAAATAATTAAAACTGGCATGAAATAAAAGAGTTCACAGAAGATTTTTCTCTAGTTTAAACAAACTAGTGCTGCCAATACAAAAAAAAAATAATTGGCCCAGCAATATTAAGTCACTGAATAAATGCAGTATGTTTCCAGACACTGCTCTGCACAATAAATAAACAAATACATGCCCAAACAGCCCATCATGTGGTATCAATGTTTTAAAATGTCATTCTTCCTGTCCTCCTCAGACTACATAGTATGGATGTTGCACTAATTCCTCTTTGGGAAAAAAAAGTGCTATCAAGCAGTGTTACTACAGCCAGACTACAAAGCAGAAAAACAGCTAAATAACTACATCTGTCTTCCCACACTCTCCATGCTGCAGACACTAGTCCATAGCACATGAAAAATCTTCTTTCATTAATAAAGCATGCAGTGGAAGTGCCAACACAGCAGGACATTGCTGTGATGCTTCTTCACTTGAGGTCCGCACACAAGGAAAAGGCAAGAGTCACCAGAATTTAAAAGGAGAGAAGGGAAGGTTCCAGGCTTGGCAGCAGCATGTTACATTGGACTATTCCTGTTCTTACCATTGGAACAGCACTGCCTGTCCACACACTGAGCTACTCACTGCATTGCCAGGGAGGGTACACTCCATCCAATTAACCAGTCTGAAGGCATGGCAGGCTGTCATTCCTGATGGCATGGCCCACTAAGGACTTCAGCTCCTCAGATGAACATTTTCTCTGTGCCCTGTCCCATAATTCCCATTCATGCAAATTTCTGCTCTTTGTCCTGTGGTTCCTGTGCTTGCATAGTTGTGCTTACACATCCTGCTCTTCTAGATCTCCTGACACAGGAGCAATCAAATACCACATTTTTAGACCAGCTCCAGATATTGTCCTGATTTTAGCTGTGATAAGAGTTCTTTTTCTTCTGAATAACTGGTACAGTGCTGTGCTGTGAATTCAGTATGAGAATAATGTTGATAACACACAGATGTTCTGCTTGTTGCTGAGCAGTGTGTACTGTAGGCCAAGGACTTCTTGGTCTCTCCTGCTCTGCCAGAGAGCACGTGTACAAAGAAGTTGGGAGGAAGCACAGCCAGGAAGGCTGACCCAGACTGGCCAAAGGGATATTCCATACCATGGACTGTCATCCCAGTAGATAAACTGGGAGGGTTGGCTGGGAGATGCCAATTGCTGCTATGGGATGGGCAGCAGTCAGCAGCTGGTGAGCAATTATACAGTGCATCACTTATTTTTCCTGGGTTTTCTCTCTCTCTTTCTCCCTCTCCTTTTCATTATAATTATTATTATACTTTGTTTCAGTTATTAAACTGTTCTTATCCAAGACATGACTTTTACTTTTTTCTTCTCCTCCTGTCCTCCCTAGCCCACAGGGTGTGTGTGGGGAGTGGTACATAATGCCAGCTGGGGTTAAACCACACCACCTACCCTGTGCCGTGCTCAGGCCCAAAGGGCAGGCACATGATGAGGGCAGCACAGGGATTTACCCTGCCAGCACACTGCAGCTAGAAGCACCTGAGTGTGTGGTCTCTTTGTTGCCTTGTGTCCTGTGCAGCAGGCTTGTCCCCAGGGGCCCTGTGCCTGCAGCCCTCACCTGTCACTGTTGTGAGGGTCAGTGTACCTCAGGTAGTACCAGGCAGAATCGACAAAGGTATCCATGGTATCGACTTCTCGCCGTGCTGCTGCCTTGCACCTGAGCAAGAGGGGAGAAAAGCTTCTTTTAGATAAGTGACAAGCTTGGGAAAAAACCCAAAAAAACATGGACAGAGGGGCCATAATATAGACATTTAGATTGAAAACTGAGCAGTCTGAAGAGTGAACGTTCAGAAAAAGTCCAACAACAGTAACAGGACTGACTTCCCTCTCCCTCCCACAACATAGCAAAAGCAAGCTGAAAGGAAGCCTGAGCATCCATCATATCCAGCAACAGCAGAAGATGGCACTGCACTGGACAGCCCTCTCAATCTTGGAATTTTTTAGAATTGCCATTTTAAAAGCTACAAAGCACAGACAAGCATACTTTGCCATCAAGTTAATGGGTACTGAATATAGATCACACTCGTTAGGTACCAGCAGATTTAGCAGAAAGGTCAGGTGGTTGCCTCTCACTGATTGTCCGTACAAAATGGTCTTTGCAGATTCCATTTATTATCTCTAGAAAAAATTAACTTAGCTTAATTTCAGCTTTCACTGAGATCAAATCTCTTCTAGACCTTGTAGCACAATTTTAATTTGTGATTACAGCAAATTGATTTTTGCTTGTAATTATATTGGCAGCCCTAAGGAACAGTTTCAAAATAGATTTCAGGAGTTCAGGTTACTTTCTGTTAATTTCTCCTTGAATATTCATTGTTTGTAAGAGCCAATAATGACATTTAATAAACTTCCATTTGTGGTAAATGATCCCTCTTAAAACTCTTACTATTAAAGCAATGGGATTATTCTAAAGTCAGTGAAACTTTGCAATCTGTGACACTGTTGAGCATAAATGACACTGATTATATGTAAGAAATGCACACAGTTAATAATTGCATGCAAGTGTAAATGCATGTATATAGTAGTAGTAAGTACACATAATGAATGGGGACTGGTTATTTCATATTTACTAACTGCACATTCAGTCTCTGATCAGTCTTGATGAGTGAGCTGCAACATGTATCTCTGCTTGCCTGCCTGATACTCCAGCTTGGCTTGCCAAGGCAGGTTTACAAGAGCATCACCACTAAACATTTTCCTTCATTGTGTCTCTGTATGTGGTCTTCCTCTACATGCAAGTTTTTCTTCCAATGAGACTAATGTAATAAAGGAGTTTCGCATCTAACTGCTTTTTAGTGTAGAAAAATGTTTTTTTCAAACTGCACACATAAACAAAGACTCAGCCAATGTAAAAGAATGGCTTTTCTGTCAAATGTTAAGAATACTTTACAGTCATTGAACCACAATTACATCTGCTTCATGCCTCTGTGCTCTAAATGGACATGCTCACTAACACAGAGCCAGCATGGGCATCTTTCAGAGTTTATACAATTTATATCAATACTGTGATTACAGGCACAATACTGTAATCTCATTAGACAATCTTCAGACGACTAACACAATTACTGGACTTGTATTACAAAGAATAACTTGGGCATCTCCTCCCATTTATGATTGTTAACATTATTGTCACCCAAATACTCAGACTTTTGTATCTTTCCATCTGGCTTCCCTTATTAATTATAGATGTTAAATGAAACTAATAAAAAACCATATTACTGGAGAGAAGAAATAAAGGAAGGGATGATGTCACTTCTTGGAGCAAGGAAAAGCAAGGATGACTGCACACAGAAGTAATAGCTCAAATTATTTGAAACTCTAGCAGACATGGACGAGCAATACAGATGATAGCTGTCAAAAAAGTGAAAATTAGGAAGACAAATAAAGATGAGAATTTAAAAAGTTAATTTCAGCAAACTACTACATTTTAGGCTAAGAAACTAATCCTGTGTGACTTTTATTTCTGACTAAACAAATGCCTTTGATTAACTTCCCTGCAGAGCAGCCACAATAACTATCCAGGACTGTAAGGATTTGCTATACATCAAAAGTGTGTTACTGTCTGGTAAACAACAAAATAATTTTTAACTAAGGTTAAAAATTGGGGGGTTAAAAGTTGGGGGAAGCCAAGAGCGCACACAGTGACTTTCAGTCACAACAGGAAAATTTTTCAGTTGAAATTAGGAATTGTAGATCAAGGCATTTCTGGGGGTTTTACTAAACCTGTGGATCTTATTCAGTAAGGCTTCACTGCAAAAGTCACACTTTAAAATACACTACTATGTGCAATTTTAATAGGCACATCTGAGAGGAAATTTTCTATGCAGAAACATGGGAGTAAAGCTGTTTTACAAAAAATTACATGTTATCAACAAAGTTTAAAACATATGTTTCCAGAGAACCATGGAACTGCTGATATTAAAATAAATTTAGATGTTATGAATCTGCTGAATTATCAGTCTGATTTCCCTACCTGGCAGCCTGACAACATGCTTCCCATTAGTTTGCATTGCACTGCAGATGAAAAACTTCTCTGGGATACTTTATGTTCTACCAGTTCCTCCCACAGAACCTACAGGCAAACTTCAGTGCACAGAGTACCTATGCAGTCCTCAAGTTCACACAACTGATTTTTACAACATATCTCTCACTACATCAATTAGACTTTTTTCTTTCTTAATTTTTTCTTTTTTTTCTTGAACAGATGGACTAGAAACAATAAGGATTACAGTGACAACAGGATGCATTTACTTTCAAATCTGAATTACATGTTATCTGTAAGGTACAGCCTCATGATAAAGATTTATATAGCTGAGAGAACACTTTATTGTTGACTATTGCAAAAAAATAAAGACAATGTTAGTTTCCTTAACAAGAGGACTAATTCAGTAATCATTATAAGCTTTATATAAACACTGATGAAAGACAATTAGAATAACTGCAATAAATAAAGTGATAAATACTGTTAAGAAATGGAAAACGGAGAAAATTATTCTGTTTTTCCTTTTTTTCTCTCCTCTAACTTAATACCAGTGAATTTTGTTTCAACTTGTTTATGAAAAAACAGCAGTAGGCATTGGGTGTTGCAAAAAAAAAAGGAGTTTTACAGAGTTTAAAAGAAAAAAATCCCTGTTTATGAAAAAACAGCAGCAGGCATTGAGTGTTGCAAAAAAGGTGCTTTAGAGAGTGTATAAGAAAAAAATGTCTGTGCTGGGTTGAACGAAACATTATTTTGGAGTAGTATCCTGTCTCAGAGCAGTCACTTGCCAACACTTTGGGTGTCACAGATATATTTTATGAAAAATCCTTTTGCTAGGATCTTTTCTCCTGAGAAGCTGAGACACCTCAGAAAGTAAATGCAAACAATAATTATCTGCTGCTGTGGAATGCAACAGGTGCATCTTTGATTGGTCTCATGTGGTTGTTTTCAATTAATGGCCAATCACAGTCCAGCTGTCTCAGACTCTCTGGTCAGTCACAAGATTTTATTATCATTCCATTCTATTATTTTCAAGCCTTCTGATGAAATTCTTTCTTCTATTCTTTTAGTATAGTTTTAATATATAATTTTTATTATTTTCTTTTCATATAATATATATTATAAAATAATAAATCATCCTTCTGAAACATGGAGTCAAGATTCTTGTCTTTTCCCTTGTCCTGGGACCCCTGTGAACACCACCACACTTTGGGAAAGCGCACAAGAACCAGGCAGGTGCAAAGTGGTCTCTCCCAGCAAATACAGCACTGACTTACCTTGGACAGGAACAGTTCACCCACTCTGGGGCACTCTCCAAAGGTGAGGCCCCCTTTCCTGTGAAGGTGGTGACATTGGGCAGCAGCACAGGTAAGTGCTCGTAAGGCACGGGGACAGCGCCGCACGCCGGGCAGTGAATGATTGGGATGGGAGTTCCCCAGTAGCGCTGCCGAGATATTAACCAGTCTCTCAATTTGTCACTTGTTAGGTCTCCACCTATCCTTTTCTTTTTGGCCTGCTGAGTAATAGCTTTTAAAGCCTCCTGCCGAGTCATGCCGGTGATCTGATTGAAAAAGAAACAAAAAATGAGACATGGAAAAAGAAAGAAAAAATTATAGGTGCTGTCAGTGAAAGTGCAAGAACAAACAAAACCAGTCAGTTTTCTGGGAGTCAAATAAAATAATAATTTCCCTCTTACCACTGGTTAACATCCTGCTATCCAAGAGACTATTCATATACCAGCTGCTCATTTGAACCTTCTTGCTTAAAGGATTATGTTCTTCATGATCTGAATAGAAGAAGGCTGAGAAAGAGTCTTGTAGACCCCTTCAGCCATTACTGGCAGATATTTGAATTTACTGCTGATACCTTTATCAGCTGCTGTATGCCAAAACTTTCAGAATTCTATCACAAACATAAGGTAGAGACTAAGGAAATTCATAAGAAAACTGCTTTCCTTCTCCTGTGTTCACTTCAGGTTTTTCTATTCTTGCTTTCACATTCTATTTAACCACTTAGACCCTATCTGGGAAGTAATGTGTCTGCTATTAAAACACATATTTTCAAGAACCAGATCTAAAGATAAGATTCCTATGTCTCTTGAGGCACCCATGATACCACAAAGGCTGAAGCCACATTTCAATGAATTTATGGAAGAAGGATTAGTATGTTCACGTTTAGGATAAGATTCTACTGAGGTTATGAAATAAGAATCAACTTTTAACATGGGTTAAATTATTCAGTTTCCATTATAGAACTAAAACCAATAGAGAGGAAAGTTCAACCTTCCTCTCCTGTACAAAAGGAAAAAACTTATTTTATTGCTACAGCAGGGCCAACATATTTCTTCATTAAATTATTCCCAGAAATTTGGTAGCATAAGCTTGGCTTGATTTAAAACAAACAAACAAAAAATCCCTTTAATCATACAAAATATTTGGCACTCTTGAGAAAACAGATTTAGTCTGCATTGTTACTGTAAGCTGGGAATAAATCCATACTTGTATACCCACCTCTGCAGAATTAATGACCTTCTCCAAACCATTTGGCAATGCCTCAATGACTTCAGTGAAAGAAATGCCCAAATTCTTAGCTACTGCAGCATCTTCTGCACTAGTACTAGGAATTCCTAGAAGGGATGAAAAACCATTTCATTTCTATGGCACTCTCTTTATAATGACTTATATTTTCCTAAAAGAGTTAAAGGAAATGGTTTAACAACAGTAAAAATGTTTTTGTGTTCTTTAAGCAATGAAATTCAAACAGCAATAATTACAACTCAGTAATTTCTCAGTTCCTCTGTATTTCAAATGTTCATTAATGTCCTGTCCTTCTTTCAGAAAAGTTTGAAAATCTGATGGTTCTGAAAAATCTAAAGCCATAAAAATTGGATAGAATTACAGAATTTTCAATATAACCATATTATCTAAATATAATATATTTAAACAATACAAATTTTAATTCTATTTGCTAATATGATAAAGACTCAACAAAGAGAAGAGTCTTCCTGTTTCAATATTAATTTATCTCTAATTTCATAGAATTATGAAATAATAGAATATTATTAGAATTAGAAGTCATCTAAATTCTCCATAATGAAACAGTCTCAAACATTACTATCCCTTTAATTTACTATGAAAGACATGATTTGTTTATAAACTCAGGGAAACTATTAAAATAACATCAGTTTGCTATTCAAACTATAACTAGTGAGAACACTTCCTACAGCTATTCAGATGAGTTACACAACTCACACTGTTTAAGGCTTCCAAAGCTCTCCTTCCGTCTGCATTTTATTATTTGGGACAGTCATGCATTTTAATTCTGCTCTGGTGGGTTTAACAGCGAGTTAAGAAATTTCTTAGCTTGTTTTATTATCACATGTATTCTGAAATAATATTAAGACACCATCAGATTTATTATTTACACAGAGATACATCTTTCTGCACATTTTCCCCCTTCAATGATAATTTAATCAATAATTTGAACCATCTTGCAATTACTGCCATCTTTAAAAGGCAAAGAAACTTATTCCAATGAGACAATACCAGCATTAAGTTGGTGAAAACTACACACAAAAGTTCTCAAAATATTTGCTGAGCACATTGGAATTATTAACTAAACCAGCTTAACAATTGTCTTAGTTCAGGCAGTGAAATGCCAGCTATACTTTAATTCTGCCAATATGTGGAAGTTTGGAAGCAGATGTCTAAAGAAAATCAAACAAAACTCCCCTGTGACAACTACTTCCTTAACTAGAAAAATGAAATATTGCTATTTTATCTTCCCAGCAGATGTACACTCTTGCCATTTCAAGAACAATGTTTGTATCTTAATTTGTCAGAGAGCCCTGCAGTCTGCAACAGGTGACTTCACAATATGCTCTACAAACGGAAAAAAGCAGCTCCCACTTTTTGGTCTGCTTCCTTTTGGAAAGATGATGCTATTAATGTACACTGGCAAAGCTCAACAGCTGGCACCCTCAGCTTCCCATGAAGAGCTGGGCTGTTTCCAGCAGACATAAGGCCAAGTATGCGCCAGCAAACTGCAAGATTTTAAGGAAAATTAAGATTAGGTATCTCAATCATTTGGCTTCTCCAATATGAGGAAAACCTTTGTTTGTCAAAACCAGATTCAAATCTAAAGTGTAAGATGTGGGCATGTTATAAGCAAATACAGCCCAAATGGGTAATTTCCATTAGCCCTGTGAGGGTCATCCAAGACATTTTTGCACATTCAGCTGGTTTAATTCAGTCCAGTTGTGCAAGAATAGCCAATATTGGCAGCAGTGAAAGCAGCAGCCCCAGGACAGGAAAGAAGTATCAACAACAGGGAGGCAACAACAGGAGTTAAGAGATAAGGAATGCACTGGAAAAAGGGAAGAAGACATAAATTATTTCCCTTTAGGACTGGCATAGAACATTGCCTTCTCAATGCAGCTGAGCCCATGGCAAAGCACAAGAGTAAACTGAGAGCTTGGTGGGTGCAGATTAAAATGGATATGGTTTTTAAAACTTAGTACAATTTCTACTTTGACTTATTCAGACAATCATATTATCTAAGAGGATGTACTTGGCTGCCCAGTTTTGGGACCAAGCTCCATGTCCAGGAAAGGAGTCAGACAGGAGCTTCACAGGACAACTTTGAGAACAGAAGCTCTCTGCAGGTGATTCAGCATCCTCTAGCAACACCCTCCCCCTCCACTTATCCACCCTCAACTCCAAATCAGGTGCCTTAAATTATGGGAATGCTACCTTGAGAGATAAAGGATCCAAGATAATTGTCCAAGACTACCTCAAAACAATTATTACCTATCCTGAACTATTTTACTGGCCTCAAAACAAATATTACTAGATAAAAGTCAAAGTTGGAAGTTTTGTAAATTTACTATCTGAAGCATTTCTCTATAAGCATGTATAATTTATGTAAACTTTAGACACACATAAAAGTCCAAAAGTTAGGGTTGTTTGCCAAAAAATAGTAGTTCTGTTTTGATTAAGGACGGTGAGAGACAGCCAAACACATATGTTGTATGTAACAAGTTTTCTTAAGATTTGCAGATCCTCAAACTTAGCTCATTAAATTGACTAATTTTATAATATTTCCATTTAATATGCTGTAAATCTCTTCACCCACATAGATTCCACATAGCTTCTTCTCCCTTCCTTCTTCCCTAATGGAGAATAGAAATCCAAAATCTAGGAGAGAGCGCCTCTGTTTTCAAATATTTACTACACCAGTATCTTGTGCTCCAATACAGCAACTGAAAAGCATACTATTCCACTTAAATATTTAATGCCACATACCTATTTTAGTATCAAGATAGTTATCAAAATTGGTTTTTGCTGAGATGACTATAGGAATCTCCTGATTGGTAAGCAAATTCACAGCTGTCACTGAAGTCAGTGAGTCTGAAAACAAATGTAATGATATGGTAAGTAAAATATAACAGAAGATATGCTAAGAACATCACTTAACATTACAAAGCAGTTTATCTTAAACTTACATGAATTTTAAGTAACAGTTTTCTTTAAAAAAGAAAGTGACAGACGTACTCACAATTCAAAAAAGCTCAGATGTATTAAAATGCTCAGTCAGATTGATAAATTATCATGATTAGAAAACATACTTATAACAAGCACCTCTATAAAAACAGAGTAAGATTTGGATTATAACAAAAAATTGAGTTTTTGGTCAAAATACAGGCTGCTGCTGCAAAGTTGTACAAATTGGTTTTATTAAGCCCTGAATTATGTACCAGCATACAATGCTACAAAATTCTATCAAAAATCAGATAAAATTCCAGGGGAGCATATATCCTTATGACTTAATTTCTTACAGAAGAACTTCAAAGCATATGACATCTTATTTTTCTAACCCGTGTTAAAAAGCCACTTAAGTAACCTACTGATTTCCAAACAGGATATTCACATTCATTTTCCAGATGAGGAACTCAATGTCCAAGCAAGGGGAAATAGGAGAGGAGAGAATTAAGGGTGAGGACGAATAAACTGAAATTGATGTACAATGCGCAGATTGGGAGTCTCAGCAAGAAGAAATCCAAATCTGAACACTCCAAATTTTGAGGATTTGATCACCAGATCTCAATTTTGGCCTATTTCTAACTTTTTCAGTGCCTTTAAGTTGATGATAATTACAATCATTAAAATATGGGTTGCTAAGAGCTTCCTTTCACCTTTCTTCATAACTAAGCTGAGGCTATGAAGGCTTGCATTGCAATGCATAAAATCTGCTTGAAGTAAAGAAACAGCAATTTTGAGAACAGGGCTGTTGTATCTCATCACGCTTCTTAACACAAATGATAAATTTTATTTCTGATTACTACTTTTCCAAATTTTAGGTGTCTGAGGTATTCATTTTACAAAGAAAATTTCTACATTCCAACAACCACACACAGCTTTCCTGTGTTTAAAAAAGTACAAAAGGGACAATTTCATTTTTTAAAAGCAACTAACCAAGAAGCGTCATGAGCAGGAGCTGAGTGGGCAGGACACTGCTTTTAAAAATAACTTCTCTCTTCCACCCAGCAATAATATTCATTTTTATGCTGGAACTCAAAATAATAACTGCAGTTGATGAAGGTGCTCTTTGCTGTGCTCATTTGCTCACATCATTATCATCATAACCAAAGAGAGAGAGTGGTACAGGTACAAGTGTAAGACAATGTATGCAGAGTATTATAATGAGATAATGAACAATGTAACAGTCAAATCTTTATCTCAGGTACCTCCTGCTGCCCAAACCATTAGACTTATCAGATTCTGAATTAAGATACATTTTTCTAGGCAAAAAAAAAAAAAAAAAATTGAATATCTGACAACTGGTTGTTCTATTTATTTAAATAATAGTAGCCTAAAATACAGACATGTACTTCAAGACTAAAGGTTTTAAAGCTTTCAGTTACTCAGCTATACAATTGCTTATTTTTCTCTCCTAGAAAACATAAAAACATACCCTCCTAATTATTTAAATGAGAACACAGTGAAGAAAGAGAATTGCAAGACTATGCCCATTGAAAAGAAAACAATTACATTTAATCAAATTAAAATTTCTGTGTTACTGAGGAATTTTTTTTTAAAAGTCTTGGTTAATGTGAAAATAGGGTCTACATAAGGCCATCCAAAATGTCTTTTTTTTAAATGGCATTTTTGGCCTTTCATATGTAAAATGCCAATCTCAGCTAATTTCAACTGAAGAACATCTGTAAGTATATTCACAAGTAGCAGGAGTATACAATAGCAGAGTTATGTGAAATTGTGCCTCTTTTTTGAAGACTTTTGGTTGTCATCATTTCAATTCAGAGTTTCTTAATTTAACTCGGCCAAAAGCTTTAAGCTTATTATTAACAGACACACAAAAAAGCTATTGTAAGTATTTCCACTTAAAAACCAATATAAAAATATAACATTGTCCTTATTAAAAGCAAATTTTGCACTTCTGTGGTTTGGCTTAAAGCACAAGATCCAACAAAGGTACAGGCACATGCATGAATGTGTGTTTGTGCAGTTAGTGCTTTGATTTGGTTCAATTGTGAGAACTGCAAATTTGTTCTCCAAAATTCTCCAAGCTTTTCTCACCTCTTAGACCAGGGTTTTATGTACTCAACACAGTCAGGATCCATGTTTCTTTCTACTAGCAAGCAAACTTTTTTAAGGTAGAAAAAAAGTACTTAAAAAAGCAGGTTCTGTACAACCAACACAATTTACCACAAGATGCTGTTGAAATCAGATGTTATCCAGACAATCTTATCTTTACCAGTAAGGTAAAAATAAAATATTGAACACCAGCCTGAAGTAGAAACAAAACACATTATATTTACTCTTGTCATGTCCAGGTTTTCCAAACAATAAAAAAATACTAGACCATGGATGCTAAATACAGGCAGAATTGGTGGTTGGAGACTTCAGGAAAGCAGTTAACAACAATGAAAGCATTATCAGTTGACTGTGCAAGTCATGAACTGCCACAGGGATACTCTGAATTTACTCCATTGGAGCCTTGTATTAACAAAGGATCTGCATAGCAGAGTATTATTTTACAATCTATCAGTGATCCACTTTGCTATGTATTAGTGATAAAACCAGATAAATTGTTGTTATTTAAAAAACAATTTTAAAAATAAACTAAAAAATTAGTGATATATTGACCTCTTTAGAGTTCTTATGACAGGAAGAAATCATTGCCGGTGCAAGAATTAGTTCTGCTGTCTTTGTGCTAATGACACATATCTTATAGACATGAGATTTTCCAATGGGCTGGCACAGTCAAATTTGGACTATTCATTTCTGGTGGATGAGGCAACAAGAATCCGTTCCATTGCTTTTATATAGTGTAACAACTATTATAAAAAGAAGAATTCCAGCATAGCTGCTCTTGCCACATCTGAAGCCAGGACAGGCTGATGTGACACTGTGTGACATAGCAAGAATTAAAGGCCTGCTTGCTCTCAACAGGAACAGCTCCTGCACAGCTTGATGCACACTCTCTAAAAATCATTCTCTGTAATTGTTGCTCTTCTACAACAAATTGCAGTATGAGAAAAATACCACCTTTCCCTGGGATGAACTCCCTCTGAAAGACTTCCTTGAGACTGCTGTTCCCATGCAGCAGTCTGTGAGTTGGTAAGATATATAAATGGGAAGCTCCATAAATGGCTTCAGGTGTATAGGTGTAAGCTGCTAGCTTCTCTTCTGTTACTTGGCCATTAACCTGGAAAAAAACAGAAAAAAATTCCCACTGGCAGTGCAGTGCTCATAGATTTCCCTTCCTTTTACCACAGCTAAGGAGCCTACATCACCCTACAGAAATACACAGATCCAAACAGCAAAGCCAGACACATTCCCACTATAGAAATTTTCCAGAATCAAACCTTCACAAAACTTACTTTTAGGCCTTGAGAAAGTTGTTTTACAGTTCTTGCCTTAGTTTATCCAAATATATCTATAAAAATATAATTCTAATCCCATATGTAATATTGCACTGTGCTACTGAGATAGACTCAATCCCTGGCTAAGCCACCCAGAATCCTTCTATCCACTTTTAATATGCATGCCTTGTTTCCAAGAAACTGGAGGGAGATGGTGCCTCTGAAAAGAATTTAGGATTTTCTCAGCTACAATATGACTTTACATCATACTTCTCTGATGAAGAAAATGCTGTAAATTATAAATAATAATAAATAAATAATAAAATATAGAAATAAATAATAATTAATGATAACAATAAAGAATAAACAATACAAATAAATAACAAATAAAAAAGAAATAATAAAAGGTGGCACAACAAACAATTGGACATAAAATATAAATAGCAAACTTCAAACACTTTTAAAGAATTACCACCTGGAACTATCAACAATGTTTATATCTTAGATGAACTAACTGTGGAGTATATGGGGGTCTTGGAAGGAGATTTTTCCATAATAATTATTGATATAAATTTTCAGAAGCAATTGATAAAAACAACTTTAAAACAGTTATTTATACAAATATAAGTACTGCATCTTTAAGCAGGGTGCAAATCAGAGGTATTTAAAAGGTTTTAATTTGTCTCAACTTGAAGTTCTGAAAAATTCAGTACTTTAAAATGAGAAGTCACTTTTAGAATGTTAGCCCAGAGTAAATAATCACAATAAAGCTTCAAAGTACAAGGGCTGAAATTTGATCAGGGTCTGTGAAAATGTCTTCTGCCACTACCATATTCATGGAGCCTTGCCCATCTCTTGATAAAAAAAGGGAAATCTGAAGCCCTTCTGCAGATAATGGTAATTTTTCTTTCAGGTTTCCTTTTCCTTCCTCTCCTTTCTTTCTATCTAGACTTCTCTGTAGCTCCATCACTACCTAACAGTGTGGTTTCCATTATTTTAATTACGGGAAATAGTAAGTGAAATAATGGACAAATGTAAGCAAAGTAGTTTGCCTGAGGTCAGCCTGGGTCGGGCAGAGAAGGTGCCATGAGAGAAAAACAAATGCCCAGCTAGACCCTAGCTGACATGTGCAGTGCCACTTGACAGTGCACCTGGCACAAATGTTGTGGCTTTTAGGGAAGCTTATTAGCTGGCTTGTATTTTGGCATAAATATACACAGCCAATTTGCATCCACTTGAACACACAAACCCTTTCCTAAGGAGGATAGCAGGGAGCATCTCTCCAACCCTCAAGTGCTGTTCTCCAGGAATCTGTGCTGGTCTGTGCATGAATATAATAATCATCTTTTTTAGGAGGTCTCAAGCTTTTAAAATCTGGGAATCCATTCTCATCACACATTTCAGGGGCTGCAGTTAGCCCAACCAAGAGATCAGCAAGTGAAATTTCTGACTTACCTTTAGCAAGAAGTCAAGGGAGCACCCAACACAGTCACCTATCCAATTTGCTTGCATTTCTTTAATGCCATACCACTCAGGGAGATCAGATAAAGCATCAAACATGGCCTGGAGCAACAAAAGAAAGAATGAGGACATTCAGCTTTTGTAAGCATATGAATTAATACTATGGGTTTAATTATAAATAACAGCAAAATGGCAAGGTGCTGGTAAAAAACATTGGAAGAGATGGTTTCATATTGCTGCTACCTCAAATCAATCTCTCTGAGAATAGAACTAACAGGGTGCAAGCCAGAGGGATGTCACTGCCAACAGAGACCCTCTTGTTATTAAAAGTGGCCTTTCTTTTGAATGGATTAGACCTGAAGATCCAGGAAGAAAAAACTTAGATGAAAACAAACACAGAAAATATTCCCAGTGATTGTAACTTCTGGGAAATGTAGGTGACCTACTGAGCTGAACAAGACTTAACAGATATGCTTGCAGATATAAAGCCTACATTTGTATTAGTTGTTTTAGACCATAGCCTAGAGATTGCAATCAGACAAAAGGTGTTAACATGTCCTAAAATTTTCAAGCTCTGGCTTAAAATAGCATGATAGTTTCTAGCTATCTATTTTTTCATATTTCGTATTGATATTTTACCAAGCACAACAGGCTGCAAAATTGATTGGGATCTTTAGGTTGTATCATCCTGTAAAAACACTAATCATAATAACAAAGGCTTGTACTAAAATAAAAAAAAAATAATATTATAATATTAAAATTCTTATAAGCAACCAGCAACAAAGCTGGGTCTGGAGGGGGGTCTAGAGCAAGTCTTATGAGGCGTGGCCAATACACCTGGGAATGTTTAGCCTGGATAAAAGATAAAAGGAGGCTCAGAGAGGACCTTATCATTCCATAACTGCCCAAAAGGAGTCTGTAGTGGAGTGGGGGTCAGTCTCTTCCCTCAGGTAACAAATGATGGATGGGACCAGAGGAAATGGTCTCAAGTTGCACCAGGGGAGGATACTAGAAAAAAATTCACCATGGAAGGGGCTGTCAAACACTGGAACAGACTGTCCAGGGAAGTGCTTGAGTCATCATCTCTGGAGGTATTCAGAAGACCCACAGACATGGTGCTTAGGGACAGGGTTTACTGATGGACTTGGCAGTGCTGGCTAAATGGCTGGACTTGAGGATCTCAAGGGTTTTTTCCAACATAAATGGTTCTGTACTATGCAGCAATGAAGAAATTCAGTGTTGCCTCCTTTATTATCTATAATGTCCAACAGCCAACTTGTAACTTCTACTTATATTTGCACTCAACAAGAGATAAACCTATATATTTATGTGCTTTCTGATGTGTGGAATGGAAGCATGAAAGTCTATTTCAAATCAACTAGTATTTGTCTAAAAAGTTTGACAAGCATGATTTTAATAAATGGCATCTATAACAATGTAAAGAAGACAGATAACTTAAAAGTTCATCTCATTTTTCACTTCATAACACTTCACATTTTTGTTATGAATGCTGTGACTGTCCAAAATCTTTACTTTGGCAGAAATACAGCCAGAGGCATGAGTCATTTGGACAGATGGTGAATATGCTGAACAATTACAGTTAAAATCTAAGAATAAGGCAACATGTTGAATAATTTCTCCTTCAGCTGTGACTCTCAACATCAAATGTGCAAACTCTTTATTATCTCAGTAATTACTGACAACCTGCAAGGATGGACAGTAGCTACTATGTGCTGTTCAAACCAAACAGTAGGTAGGTGGATAATTAGCGAATGCACACTTAATTCTTCTCCAAGAATGCATTTCAAGTTCTGTTTTAATGACATACTTAACTAATTTCAAAGTGAGATGCAGAAAAGTTACTGTAAGAATTACTTTTTTAGTTACTGCTCTGCTATATGTCTGTCATTCAAAATATAACAAAATCCATGTCCTTTGTAAACCATAATATTACATCACCACTTGGGATTTTTATTGCTTTCTACAACTTTAAGAATCAAACCAATTTATTGATGATTTATAAATAAAAGAATGCTAGACTTTCGGATAGGTTTTTATTACACTATATCTTTAAACAGTTTTAACTCACAATTGCAAGCATGTTATATCAAAGAGAATTCAAAGTTTGGAGTATTCTCATTAATTGCACCATTCCAGAAAAAAATAAGCTCTATCTACCATGATCAATCTATGTACTCACGTAATAATAAAAATAAATAATTTGAGATATATATAATGTATCTCTATACTATGTATGTATATCTCTATACATACACACAATACCTAGATACATTCTTTGTAAGAACTTTATGCATTTTAGAAAGAATGAAATGGTATCAGTACACACATAACTGGCTGTTCACATTAGCTATCCATTCTAATTTACATCACATTTTGCTGCCAGAAGCAGCTAATTGTGCATGTGTTTTACTGAAACTGTACAGTCTGTAACTGCTTGCCAGCAAAGCTTCCTAGATGTTTGTTCACTGCAGTATTCATACACCAAGATTGTCAATACCAGTGTGATAACGATTTTACTGTAATTCATTGGCCTTATTAGAAGCTACAGTATGAGTTAACCCAGTTCTTCTCTTGATAATGCAATTACTTCATGCAACTAAATACAGGAAGAGCCAACTTTACTTCATGTGAATGAAGATAACTAAGCTTACTCTGCATGATGATGAAGCCTACAGGGTTTGCAAACATAAACCCTTTATAATTTAATTTATACATAAACAGTTTAATATGATAGGAAACAAAAAATCCAAGCAAACAAAAACACTTCAAAAATGTTCAAAATGGAATTATGGTTCCCAGTTCTTTGTACTCAACAAACTTCTTAGGTTTCTTGTCAAGGCTATGAACAGCAGGTGAAGCAGAAAATGAACATGCAAACTATAAACAATTTATCTGGTGTTACAAAGGCAAATAATATACAATATGCACACTGCTAGCATGTTAGTAAGTGTTTCTGAATGGTAAATTATCTAGGGTACTCACTAGCAGGAAAGCAGAGATGCATCAATTCTTACACACATGAATGCACTTGTACATCCAAAATTCATATATACAAACTAGGAGCTTTTAAAAGATAGCTTAAGGAAAACCCTTTAAAAAAGCTTTTCCTTTTCAAATCCAATTGCACTACACCCTACAAAATACATGCCCACAAATATACGCTAAAACTATTATTAATATAAAAAAATTACAAGTATACTATTTGGGTATACAAAACTCTCGACCAATGCTAGCATAGAAATTCCTGAATATTTTAAGTTACTATTTGGCAAGTTAAATATTAACTCCCATGAATTTTGCTTGCAGGCTATTTTTAAAAAACCACTGCCATGTTCAGTACAACCTTTTCTCAATCATTAGAGTAGTCCCATGAATTCTGCTCCAAATTTTAACTTGCAAATTGCCAACCCTGGCAGTATTCAAGGCCAGGGTGGACGGGGCCTTGAGCAGCCTGGTCTAGTTGGAGGTGTCCCTGCTCATGGCAAAGGGGATTGGGACTAGATGATCTTTAAGGTTCATTCCAACACCTTAACATTCTATGATTCTGTAATTACTGATAATTTCCATTAAAAAAAAAAACACAAAAAAACCCCAAAACCTGATCCTTAAAGGTGTGTATATAACTTCTGTATAACTTCTTGTTATTTCTGGCACAAATTTGTTAACTTGATTTGCTAACACAGAGAAGACAATCAGTAAGAAGACTCCCAGCACACAGGCAAATACAGGCAAATAAACAAAAGTAAAACCATGTTGGAGTCAGCAGGGGACAAAAAACAAGAGCAGCATTTCAGTCCAGTAAGCAGAGAGTGACAAGATTACCAAATAAACTCAATTTTTGAATTTCTGATGATAACTTAATTGGGAAAAATTTGGAAACATTAGCTAGCAGAGTATTTCTGCTTTCATTTCTCATTACTCAGAAAGAGACATGAAAACTTCAAATGCAAACATCTAATTACCAGAGAAATTACTCCCATCTTAATTAAACATAAGTCAAGGAATAGCATAAATACATTTTGGCAGTCTTTCAGATCTGAAAATAGACAGACTCAGGAAAAGCTAAAGAAAACAAAGTTGTGTTCAGGGATGAGAATGATTTAAAGGCTCTTACACCTGAAGAAGTTGGAGATTGAGGATAAATGTTTCACAGACTTTTTTACTCTTTCAGAACATGCAGAAAATCCTGGCACAGCCAGAAGATGAACGTCAACTACTTCAGATGATCAGAGAGTAACTAAATCAAGATGAATTTGCTGAAAATTCATCAAAGACAATGATGACCAAGCCTAAAACTAGAAGTAACACATTGTATGTGAAAAACTGGTCTCACCTTTCTAGCTGTTTAGTCTGCTGAGGATAATGACAGAAACAGAACTTCAGTTAAGAAATTTTCAGACAAAAAAGATCCAGAAAATCTAAGAAACATAAGTGCTTTACAATTTCCCAAGAGCATCTCAACTCCAAAAGTCCTCTTGTTTTAGTTCAAAGAAAGATTCTGCTGAACCCCTAAAAAATTCAGTCTTTGACTACATGAACTAAAAGTTTTAGTAGATCAATACCTGCTACTAATTTCATATTTAGTGAGAGTAATCTAACTCCTCTATAATAGTACATGAAATAAAGTGGAAAATCTAAATATAAGCTATATAATCAAATGTATATTCTTTTTTTTAAATGAAGACACTTCAATGAAGTTTGACAGATCTGCAAGGTAACAAGAAGATCAGAATAAAAACTTCAGCAAAAGGTTGCATTCCAGAATAATTCAATTAGCAAAATAAAATTGCATTCTACTAAATTACAAAAGTAGAATACAAAAATTATAAAATTTAAAAGCTTTGCTTCTGAGGAAGAGTCAAATAAACATCCAAGCTCTGTTTGGATTAAAATTAAATTCTTCACTTCATTTGATCAAACTCCCAAAAGAGCAACCAAATGAAAACTAAAGATTACACAAAATCATTTAATACAACTTAATATATTAACATATATTAAAGCACAAGAAATTAAAGCTATGCTACCCACTGTTTTATTTTGCACTCTATTGCACTGTTCCAACTGTGATTATATGCTACAGT